GCAGATGAAGACGCTCTTGACCTCAGTAAATGAAGAGAGTAATGTTGTGGTAAGAGCAACAGGGGCGTGACTCAGGAGACTCGTCTCTCTACAGACAGCCGCCTGCTGCTTTGGTGGAGAGAAACGGGGTCGCTACAAACACTCTCCAAGCTGACTCGCAAATATTTGCGTGTGCTGCTCAGTTCAAAATCATACAATAACTGCAGTGAAATTAGAAAATTACACTTCAGCTGGACTAGTCTTCAAACACATTAGTACATATTCAGATATGACCCTAAAGGAGGATATTTTGTTTAATGGTGATCTCACCGCTGACATCACTTTCTGCAGCGTTTGGTTGTTATGAGAACGTGCACCCATATGGCTCTCAAAGGCACACTCTCGGCCTGCGCTTGAGGCCACAACTGAACTGTTAAAACCTAAAAAACGAGCACATTGTGTGCAGTGAAGAGATTTGTCTTCCAGCTGAATAAAAGCTTCACCCTCTGGATTTCACAGGTTTCACAAAAGTTAATGAGAAGCTGTGCCGCTGCTACTTGGATCGGTTCTGTTGTCTCCATTCCTGCACAGAGCCCATGGTGACCACACGTCTCTCTTCACCTCGCCGCCCCCCCTCTGCCATACTCTTTAGTGTCACACACAACACAACAGTACTGCTGCCACAACTCAACACTGAGCTCACTCCTCATTTACTTCTAGAGCACAAACACCATCATCTGAATACAAATGTCCTCATCATGGCTGATTAATATGGCTTACTGGAAATGAGATATTTGCTTTTCAAAAACACTGATCGTAAAAGCTTCTTGGATTTCTCAAAGTGAAGAAATAAACACCGAAAGGGAAGTGAAGAACAATTGCTTAGTGATGGACACTTACACCCCACCCCACCCACTCCACCCCAGCAGCAGCATGCCAGGCTTGGCAAATCTACAGCAAGAACCCAGTTTACATCAGAGAGGGAGCACAATACTGGCTTTGTCGCTCAACTCACACAGACAGCTCTCTAAGGTCTCGTACAAGTCTTCAAATGTGTCACAGAAACCTGTCGCTCTATACACACTCATTCATCTCTGGTTTGGCCAAACCTATAGGCCTACTGAAGTGGATCCAGACTCTTCTTTCATGCATCACAAATTACAACAAAGAAGAGACCAGATTTCCATGCTGGTGATGAATTCAGCTTTCTAATATTATACTGATTTGTTTGTATGCATTTGGAGATTTTAAATGTTTGGCCCTTGTTTTCATCTTGCACAACACTCAATTGAGGGCTGAGAAGCTGCTGAAGGTTAACTATTGGCAGGAGGGATCATGTGACCAGAGTATGAATTCAGGGAGAATCTCTATTGCACAATTCACTCTCGCTGTATACATGTTTGGGCAGGGCTGTACGTGTGCAGAGAGGATGGGGAGAATAACTTACATATTAAAAAATCAGTGTGCTGGGGAAGTTTCGGTTTCATCGTTGAGTATAATGACAAGGAAGAGAAAACGATAAACTAAGAAATTACTGCAAACATTGTTTTACATTATACATTATTATGTTATACATACAGCAACGCCTACTAGAATTACGGAGTTTGCCCCAAAGTTTACAGGATAAGTGTACAGCAGGCGTACAGTTAGCAAACTGTAACATTAGCAGGCTGTATAACGTTAGCAGGCCGTAAAGTAAGTAGGATGTCGCGTTTGCAGGTTCTGCCACAATCATATTTTCCATATCTTTATCAACATTACGTCAAGACAGACCGGATGAACAACAAATCATCCTCAAAAAGACAAAGCAACATGTTTGCACGTTTTTGTCTTTATTTCCCACTTCTTCACGGGTAATGATTCACAAGCCTGCTTCAGATTCATATTTTTACGACAGGGTGAGCCGAGTTCCTTTTACTGCTCTGGTCTAACTGTGATCGTGCAACTGTAAACATCACAGCGGAAGAAACGGGTGTAACTGCCACTGTACTGTATACAACATCTAAATATGTTAACAATGATGGACACAACCAATCTACAGCTCATGTTAAAGGTAGCTGAAGAAAGCTAAGGGAGATAGAGCAGGCGTCCTTCAAACGAGGACTGGAAGCTAGGACACGTGTGGGCTGAGGAGAGCGCGGCTTTATTATCGGCTGACGAGATAAGGTGTGGCAGCCTTATGGCTTATGGTGACACAAAGGCCTGCAGGGAGAGGCCGATGAATGTGTGTCACAGAAGTTCAACACAACCAGTGCTTGCTTCCAACAATCACCTTCAGGATTAATTAATGTTTTAATCACGGCTTTAAATCCCCTGGTTCAATATGCAGATGACAAACTGACATACAGTTGAAACAAAATCACTGCTGGCGCTAATTACTTCCACAGTCACGATGAGAGCAGAGCTGAAATACTGATTGGTCTCGTAAAACTTATTCAGCCCATTGACCTTAAAGAAAGCGTGTGTTCCAACAGCACATGTTTCTGAACAAGCTGGGAAAATGTTGTGATCTACCTGGCATGCGTTGCTAGAAAGATTTTAACGAATAGCATTCATTGAAAATTGGGGCCAACATTTTGGATCTTTTAAAAATAAGCCTAAGGACCTTATTTGGCCATGTTGTCGTGACAACATGTAAAACGCTTCGTTGTAGCTGTCATGAGCACGCCAAGTCAACAACGACGTCCTTTACATGCAAAATGTTCTTCTCATTCCTCAGCAACTTTTTCATTTTTAAAGTTGTCCCACCACCCAAAGTCCGCCCGGGTCTCGTCCAAAACCACCAACGTTGGCGGCGAGCTTTGTGTGTTTGGAGGGTGGTATGAAGCAGCAGTGGCCTCCGTCATCCAATCAGGCGTCTCTGCGCGTCAACACAGTGGGAGAGTAACTGTGTATGTATGTGTGAGCATGTAAAAAGTCCAGTTAACAATGTTAGCACCAGCGCTAGTTTAGTTACGTCTGCCAGGTTTTCCAAAAGGTGGGTTTTCACTGACCTGAATCAGAAAAGGCTACTTTTTCAAAAACATCTGCCAAATGTTGACTTGGCCCAAGTGGCAACCTCCAATATTGAAAAAAAGAAGCGCATTATCCTGCAGTTCCTTAAGTGTCCACTAGAGGCTGGCTGCAGAAGCACAGGAAGTCACACACACACATGCAAAAAAGCCTGTTTTTACAGCAGAGACTAACATGTTTACAGCCTGGTTCGAAAAACCAAACAGGTCTATATAATAGACATAATTATTTAAGCCTGAGGTCAAACTCACTGGATCTATTTTTGTCCTCTGAATCTGTTAATGTTGGACCACTGCTGACCCTGACCTCTGACTTAACTGTACAAGGTCAACTGATAGAGAATGACTTATCCAGCGAGGCTTAATGACAAAAAAAATTCATATCAGAGATTACAACAGATAATGGGTGTGGCTGTGTGCAGAGTGAGGGTTGGTTTAGGAGCATCACAAAGTCTCTCAGTGTAGAAAAGATGGAGCTACGGACTGAGCTGCTGCCCCAGAAGTAAACTCTTGCATTTCAGCAGCTCCTCCAACGGAGGCGGTGCTCTCAGAGAGCGACCTTAGAAGTACACAAATTATAATTCATTGGACTCCTTCTTCAAGACAGGAACCAAAGGAAATTGAATAAAGGTGCAAACGACTAATGTTTTGACTGCATCGTCCTCAGAGTCAAAAAATATATACTTTGTTTACTACTACTAGGTCAAAGTCAAAAGGAGGCATCTACACTGTACTGCAATAAAAATAATGAAATTAAATGTGCAGTATCATCACAACAAAGCTTCTTTCTTGTGTTCGTTCTTTATACTCAATCCCTATCTGGGCAGCAGTTGCTCAGTCTGAGGGACTTGATGTAGGTACCGTAGGGTCACCGGTTCAAGTCATGGTGGGGACCAAATCTAGTAATTGGTCTGTTTGCTGGAGAAGTGCTAGTTCACTTCCTGAGCACTGCCGAGGTGCCCTTGAGCAAGGCTCCAACCCCCCATCCCACTCTGACATCTCTCCATCAGTGCACGTCCACAGGATCCTGTTTGTGCATGTGTATGTGTGTGTGTGTGTGTGTGTAGCATGTTTCAACAACAGAGTGTGAAACTGAATTTCCCCTCGTGGGATTCAAAAAGTATGTCAGTGTTTCCCCTCCCGCCCCCCTTGAAGGTCAAGTAAAAAATAAAAATAAAAGTTGTTTTTTTTTGGGGGGGGGGGGCTTTTTGTGCCTTTATTGTAGAGACAGGATAGTGGATAGAGATAGAAAAGGACATCTGTCATTAAAAGTAACGCATGAACACCAAGATTCCTTCAAGTGTTTGTGTCAGTGTGTCGGCTTGTCCCCCACCCCCCCCCAACGCTGTAAACCTAGGGGAAACACTGTATATCCTCTTCTTCTATTTAGGTTATTAATTCCCCTTGTGTTCAATAACATATTGAAACAAATCCAACATACTGTCCACTTTCTCTTTGACGTTGGGGCTAAAGGTTTATATCGTAGAACCTGAATTAACAGCCTCGGTCTATAAAAATGACCCTGCCTTTATTTGTGACAGGCGTCAACATAAGACGCCTTAAATTGTTTTCACAAAAAGCTCATGCACGGCTATTAGAGACTATGAAATAATATTTAAATGTGCACAAATTTAGTAAATGTATAAAGTAATTAAATCACAAAGCACTGATTAGATCTTATTTTAGAAGACCAAGGGGAGGCAGACAGCTCTGTTATTAATATATATTTATCCACAAACTGATCAACACTTAATGCATATGTGGCATTTAACTGAGAGGTGCCATTACTTGTCAAAACCAGGCAGCAGCACCAGGCTAGTGAAGGGACTGGGCCTGACATTACGGCGCGCTTATATTTTACGTTTTACGGTAACTGAAGTTGTAGAGCTAATGTTAGCTAGCAGTTAGCTAGTTTGTTGTTGCTCTGACAGTGCTAGCTTCTTCTGTAAAGACAAAATGACTCATTTAACGGAAGGAGGGGAAATAATAATGAAAGATTAAACTGCCAACCTCTATTTTGTCGACACTCCTGGCACAGCCGACGACCCGCATGCCTTGCTGGACCAGTGCCCGGGCTACAGCCGCTCCGATCCCCACAGAGGCTCCGGTCACCAGGGCCACTCTGCCTTTCCACCGCTCCATCTCCAACACACTGACTACGACAATTACACGACAAAACAGCTCCCTCTTCCTCTGCCTGCTTAGTTTAACCTGACACAAATGTAGTTATCTGTCTCTATGTTTTCAAATGTAGGGATCATGCAGCAGCCTCCTGTCTCAATCTGTGCCGCATCCAGGACAGCGGCGCGCAGTGTGCCTGAGCCCGGATCCATGCGCTCCCCTGGATGAGATATGGACAGCCCTGTTGTGTGTGTGTGTGTGTGTGTGTGTGTGTGTGTGTGTGTGTGTGTGTGTGTGTGTGTGTGTGTGTGTGTGTGTGTGTGTGTGTGTGTGTGTGTGTGTGTGTGTGTGTGTGTGTGTGTGTGAGTGAATGTTTGGTTCACGTCACCTCCCACTTTGTTTTTTGAGCCCTCGGGCCTGGAGAGCTGCGTGTGGTTATGTACCGCCACCTGCTGGTTAAACTGAACATCACAAGGCTTAAATTTGCAACTGAAATTTGCCTAAATATAGTCCTATCCAGGGGGGCCACCAGGAATTGTGGGTCTCATGAAAAGATAACACAATGAGCCCCCACCATCACAGCCCAATCCGACCCTGCACAATTCATATAACCACACCTCCATGATGAAACACACACTCAAAAGATACAGTAACGACTAATTGCTGAAATAATGAAGGATAGACTGTTGAAGGAGCAGTTTGTTACTTTGACACCTATAGTGTTATAGTGTTACCTATGGATACTGTAGTCTAAACTGTAAACATTGTAGAGAGCTGTCTCCCCCCTCCTCTCTAGAGTTGATGCTCACACAGGTCACCATGTGGTGAACACTGAAGCTTCAGTGTTTATCCAGCTCTGCATCAGTCTGTAAACCTTTCTGTGTTCTAACCTCTCTCCATTTTTCAAAATCATCTCCAATATTGATCCTAGTTTGAGCACGTTTCTGCTCGTGGAGCTTATTAGAAACATGCAGAGGCTTTTTAGGTCGGGTACAATCACTTCTATCTGAACCACTTCTCTTGCCCGCTTCCATCACTGCAACACCTGTTGGTTTGACCTGATAACTGCTCTCATATCTGGCAAACTGAGGGGCGTCCAAAACAGCTGTGTGGGGGTGCCTTAAAACCGCCTACCTTCTCTGGTCCAAACAAATCCAGAGCATTCAGGACCAGAATCTAAAGTTAGAAGGAGGACATACTGGCTGCTGCATTGTTGTCAGAGAAGCCAGCACTTCAACATAGCATGTTTCCTTAATGTCTGATCATATAGTAAGGTCACTTCATCATTTCACTCACTACACATCTCACTGATTGGACCTTTTAAAGAAGGTCAAAGGAAAGGATCAAGTTCAAATGTTTATCTTAAAGTAAATGAGTAAAGATCTTTAAAGTTCTCTTGCCCGCTTCCATCGCCATCGTCATTTCTAATTATTATTATTGTTATAACCGTATTATGATTATTATGTTCAGAATCAAAGTACAGCTCTGACGTTGGACAGTAGGTGGCGGTATACGTTCTTAAACGTTGGTTTGCGAGCCGCCAATAAACCAACGAAGAAGAAGAAGTGCTGTCATTGAGAAACATGGCGGCCTCCACTGGTGCTGCGGACGGTGCTTCCTCCGACATGCAGGCTTCAGCTTCAGTCGGTCCGAATATGGACGGCGCTTCGATCCAGTACAGCATGATTCTGGACCACCTCATCGGGGACAAGAGGCCAGTGAAGGACCTGAGCCCCGGCGTGATGGGGGGACTTCCGGTGCCTTTTAAAAGCGACGAGCAGAAGATGATCGAGAGGGGGATGGAGAGCTGCGCCTTCAAGACGGTGCTGGCTTGTGTTGGAGGTATAAGCAAGGACACTAGCATACAGTACATGTGTCTGGGTCTGGGTCTGGGTCTGGGTCTGGGTCTGGGTCTACATGAACAACATGAGCTGTTAAAGTCCAGATCACAGACACTTACACTGATCGAAATGTCATAGTGGATGATTTAACACAACTGTTAAGATTGCTGCTTCTTGGTAAGCCATTTCTAAATAGTTATAATAATTAGGGCTGTCACCATTAACTACTTAATCTCCTGCTATTTTTGTCTCCGTAGATAGTGGTCCTCAGTGTCTCCTTGTAGTCTCAGTGATGTAAAAGAAGAACACTGCTGCATCTTTGAATGTCTCATTTCACTTTAACAAACTCTCAGACAGCTCAGCTGACGAGTCCAAAGTAATATCCACCTTAGTAACCGATTATATGTCCAAACACAAGTCTGAAGGCATGAATGCTTTTTCTCCACAGGGTTTGTCCTCGGAGGTGCTTTTGGTGTTTTCACAGCTGGTATCGATACCAATGTTGGCTTCGACCCCAAAGACCCTCTAAGAACCCCGACAGCCCGAGAGGTCCTCAAAGACATGGGCCAGAGGGGGATGTCCTATGCCAAGAACTTTGCCATTGTGGGGGCCATGTTCTCCTGCACAGAGTGCGTCATAGAATCAGTAAGTCTTCTTCATCTGTCTGTGACTTACTGATGGTAGAAACCGCAGAGCCTTACAGACGTCGCTGGTTATATTAGTTCAGGTTCCATTTCAGTACAGGTTTGCACGACCTTTAGTTCTCTCATCTCCACGCGCAGAAAACACGGCGAGGCGTTTACATGTCAGTGTTTCTGAAATCATGTACCCCTCTGAGCTGTAACACGGTCCATGTTTTTCTTTTCAGCATCGAGGGAAATCTGACTGGAAGAACGCCGTGTACAGCGGCTGTGTGACGGGAGGAGCCATTGGACTGCGTGGTATGTTAACGTGGTGCTTTGATGTTTGATATTGAACGTTGAACGCGTCCCCTCCCCCCCCTCACTGTTGTTTTCACTTTCTCTGTTTGGTAGCCGGTGTGAAAGCGGGGGTGTTGGGATGTGGAGGCTTTGCGGCGTTCTCCGCTGCCATCGAATATTATCTGAGGTGAACGACGACAAAAGAGGCTCAGTGGACGAGGACTTCATCGACGCACATGAGGACGAGCCGGTTCAGGACTGTGAATGGAGGATTAATGCGAGAGTGGGAAGCTTTGCATTGGGTTGAAGAGAGAGAGAGAGAGGTTCCTTTCTGTGCACGCTGGAGATAACAACATGGGCGGAGAGACGACCCGATCGTTTTCACCAGCGTCTCGTTATTTTTGTCTCATGACATTTAAGCAAAAACGTCCTGTAAAACAAATCTCCAGACATGAAGCAGAGAGACTCTGCTTCTGAGCTGAAGGTTGAATGATGAAGCTGGCTACACACGCGGCGATTTTAGACCCAAATCAACGACTTGTTGGGGGGCGTGCTCCGCTTGTTTGTTGCAAACGATTATTAGTCCAAACAATCCTCCACGTGTCACTACGGTTATTTTACTGCCTCCCATCGAGTTGGAGCCTCTAGATCTGGAGTCATAAATACCAATCGTGTTTGATTTTTATGACTCAGGTCGGACTGCCTGCAACAGAATACCTGCCGCAGCCAATGAGAGCGAGCAGACCGAAAAGCACCACCAACCGGATGTTGCGTGCTCTGACAGCTCCCCCTCAGCTCGCGCTGCACATTAAATGAAGCCGCACATAATCCGTCTTCTCAGCCAGGATCTCGACCGTGTCTCATTTTCCTTTTTCTTGCTGCAAAACTGAACTCACAGCAGGACAGCCAGCTGATCATGTCCATCGTCCTCCATGTTTGTTTTTCTCCTGAAGTCACGTTTGATCACGCGAGATTCTGTGAGATCTCGTGTCTGTGACATCGTTACTGCATCTCACGGCTGTATCGTCACATGTCTGCGTTCAGAGGATTATAAAGTTAAACATCGGTTGAATCTGTCCTCATGACGGTGGTCTCCTCGTTTTTAATATCTGTAAAGATTTGAAAATCGCCTCGTGTGCAGCCAGCTGAAGACAGATGTTGTAAACGAAATCTATCGTTCTGAACAACAGAAACCAATGCCGGACCGTTTTAATGCCGCTCTTGTTTCAGAACCTTTGTATCATATGTCACCAACTCATCAGGATTATTTATATTAAACTAATTTCTCTTTCTTAACTCGTGCACTCGTGTTTTTTTCCCCTGCAGGTAGCGAGTGTCCAAACAGAGTTATAAATCACATTTTGATATCAGTCCTGTGTAGATTAGGATCAATGTGTTCCCTTTATTCTATTCCTCATCAGTCATTTGGATTGATATTAATCTGTACAGAGAACAACTCTTTGGGGTTTCCTTCTATAGTGAGAGCTGAAGGTCAACACACCCGGTCAGGGTTATGTTAAAGGTCACATATTCTTCTCTTATTCAGTTTAAATAAGTCTCAGAGCTCTTCAAAACATGTGTGTGAAGTGTCTTGTTCTAAATACACTCTGATCCTATATTTGATCATGTCTATAAACCCCTCTATTTCAGTTCTGCTCAGAACAGACTGTTTCTGTGTCTGTACCTTTAAATGTAAATGAGCTGTGTCTGACCACGCCCCTCTCTGGAAGGGCTTGGGTGTACTCTGTCTTTCTCGCTCCATGTCCTATTGTTTACGGTGAGAAGGCAGACTCAGAGGGCAGAACAAACACCTGTGGCAGTGTCACCCACCTGGGGGAGGGGTTACTGCCCTTTGTGATGTCATGAAGGGAATATCTCCAAACGGCCTGTTTGAGCACACATTTTCTGAAAAGTGGAGCAGGGAAAAGACAGAGAGGATGGACTTTTCTCATCATTGGGGGGTTTGTAGACAGACTAGAGACACTTATTAGAGTTAGAGGAACATGAGGGGTGTTTTACAGAATATATGACCTCTAAGCTGGTCAGACTTCAACTGAAGCCCCGTCTGAGAACATGGTGGTTATCAGGTGTGTCTGTGAACCTCTGACTCTTCTTCACACTAAAGAGCGATGGCCAGCTTCCCATTTTAGACCGGCTGTTACCATGAAGAGTAATGAGGGAATATAAAAAAAGGCATGGCAGTAAAAGCAAGGTGCTGATGCTGCAAAGAAGGCAAAAGAGGAAAAAGAAAATTCTTAATTTGTGAATACCATAAAACCACTACTACTAAAAAGCCCGTCCCATTGAAGGCCCAGGGTCTTGTACTCGCCTGGTGTTGCTGCAGATAAATAAAGGCAGCTCTCAGTCCAAGGCTCCTCTGTGTGTTTATTGATTAAATAGTTTGTTGATCAAACACGAGGAGAAGAAGCTGCACAACTCAAAAAACAAGAATGAACTTGTGTCCTAAACAGGCCGGGTCCTGCAAGTGGAAAGTCTCCTCCTAAAGGGACTGGGGGGTTGCTGCTGCAGGACCGGACCTAAGGAAAATAAAAGCATCACCCTCTCCCTCCCTTCTATCCTCAAAACACCAGTAGTGGACCTTTGACCCCAAAACCCCGGCGGCAGTCCGTTACCCCCCGACATAAACATTACACAAACCCCTCACCACATCAACACATTTAACACATAACATACACCTTCCTCAATCCTTATTATACATTAATTTTGTTGTTATTTGTAGTGTGCGCAACTTCCCATAGGATCCTCTTTACGCCTCTTGTCATACTCAAATTGAAGTTTTTAGTCGGCGCAGAAAATGTAAAGGTGAGATGATCCTGACGTAAACAGGAGATCCGATTCCCTCCTGTGTTTACTCTGCTGAGAGGGGGCAGCGTGTGTGTGCTGACTGACAATAAGTTAATATTTGTTTAGTCGACTTTGAAATGCATCACAATGTGTCGGAGAGAGAGAGAGAGAGAGAGAGTAATACGGCGGCAGACAGTGTGAGCAGCAGAAAGTGAAAAGAGTCTCACTGATACAGCTCCTCTCTGACTTTTACACTTCATCATCATCGTCTTCTTCGTAGTCGACCATGTCGGTTCTTCCTCTGCGGGTGAAAATGCTGCGGCGGGTCTGGAGGTTGAAGGGGGGTCTTCATCCTGGTCTGCAGCCCGTTTATCCTGCTGCCGCTCGCCCTCAGCACCACGGTGAGACCACTGAGCAGCTTAACAAGCAATTCACTAACAAGTTTACAGAGCAGGTGATGGAGCCCTGACCACCATCACATAGAAGTTACATCATACATCTAATGGACTACTTTATTTCAATTCACTCTAACCTCAGTGATGTTTTGAATATCTGACTTCAGTGAAGTTACATTCGGGTTCAAATGTGCTCGACATGCAGAATCATGTATTTCTGTATATTTCACGTCTGATGAGTCGTTTGATTTGATTCGCAGCGACAATATTTGTTTACAGCAGAACAGTGAGCAGGTTACGTTCACAGCTTTCTGTCACTGATTGACAAACAGATTCCAAACTGTTTAAACGTTCACTGTTTCAGGTTACTGAGAAGCTTTTTGAAAAGAAGAAAACAAACTGATCTCATCAGAGCAGCTCTGATCTAGTCAGCTGGAACAACACCACTGTGTCTGATCTGTTCTCTCTGTAAAAAAAAACTCTCTGTTGAACTTAAGATCCTGCACTCAAATAGTGATTTCACACCTGCATAAAACCACAGAAATCTGATATTTTCCTGCTGAGCGTCATGTGTGAACACAAACAGCTGAATGTTTCTCTCTTCACCCGGAGTTTCTCCTCCAGCCTCCTCGTATTTATTCTGCAGAAAGTCAGAGTGAGCTGATGTGAGAACTCAGCAGGATATAATCAGGAGAATTCACCTGGAGCGAGTGGGAGGGGGTGGTGACGTTTATTCCCTGTGATCGCTGCACGACCATAGACTGTCTGCACGCCACCTCTACCATCTCTGTGCTCTAATGAACCTGCTGCATTATGTTTCCTGTTCTCCAGTATGTTCTTCTCCACTCTTTAGTTCACATTGTGATTCTGTTCAACTACACATAGCATTGATAGAAAGACAAATATTCTCATTATAGCGTCAGAAGACTCTGTTGCCTGAACGCTTCTTCCACATCGCTCTTTTTACATTGTGTCTTATCTCAGGAGACCCCCCCCCCCCCTGACAGGGATAGTCTCCCGCTGTGAGATGCATGTGTGAACAACCAAACCAGGAGAATATCCGGAGCAGTCTTCCTGGTATGAAGCTAAAGATACACCACAAAGTGTTGGAGGAAAAATAAACATAAAGTACCAAAACTAAAAGTGTTTACTGTCCAAAAGAGCTTTTTTAAACTAGTACAAACATATATTTATCACTGGATAATGTTAAAAGTTTTATTTATCAAATTCAAAGTGTTTTAGAGAGTTAAAAACTAAACTTTTGACATACAGGGAGACACCAAGAGGCTCGGCAGCTAGAGTTGTTGCCCCCCGGTTTCGCTACAGGCGGGTCCCATGTTGGTTGGTTATGAAACGCTATAACTTAACGTTTGTATGAACACAAATAGTGACAGGGAGCAGTGTGGGTCTCTGGGGGGGGGGGGGGGGGGGTCACAGGGCGAGCGCTCACATATTGTTTCCATCCACCCTGTTTGGATTTGAGAGATCGGACTCTCCATCGTCACAGCTGGATTCTGGAGTCCAGCAGGTGAAGCGCTAGGTTGTAAATCCTCCCAGATCAGAAGCACATGCACAACGTGGACCGGGGCGCACGTGAGATTAAAGCTCCGCTGCAGGAGTTCATATCAACACATCTTCAGTTTCTGCAGGAACTGTTGTTGTTTTGAAACTTTTACAGGATTATATAACACGGCGGTGATTTAATAAACACAGCTGTTCATTATTTACATCTGACAGGTTTACACTTTAGTGTTGTAGTCTCAAGACCACTTTCTGAAGGTCTCGTCTTGGAATCAAAATCATTTTTCCTCGGCATTGTCTAGGTCTCAGACTGGGCGGACTCCAGATTTTAAATCAAGACCGGTCAAAACCACTACTGATCGGCTATTTCTCCACGTCGTTACTGTGACTAGAAGGAAAATGCCTCTTTCTAAAAGAACAAATAATAACTTTACAATTCATTTGTAGTTTGATTTTTATCCCCTGGTTATGGCCACAACCTTCCCGGTGTTACGGTGAGGGACACGCCCCCTGCACACAAGATGATGATTTTTCGGTGATATTTATTGTCTTGGTCTCGTACTGCCTTGGTCTCAGTCTTGACTCGGTCTCGCCTTAAAAACTCAAATCTTAGTCTGACACTTTGTCTAGCATGAACAGGATAAAGATCTTATTTCTCTTTTGGGAGATATTTCTCACTTTCTTAATATCTAAACACACACGTTCAAATCAACACCCTCAGTTTATGTTCTTTCTTTTCATTGTTGTTCGTGCTCACAGTAAAGACTTAAACTGAGTCTTGTTTACACATGCAGGTCCTTCATGTCACTACATGATGTCCTGGAAATGTTAAGGGTTCTTGTGTGTTTTTGTGTGTAGGAGGCGGCCTGTGCTTATGTCATAGGCCTCATGGCGGTGTACTGGTGCACAGAGGTGCTGCCTCTGGCGGTGACAGCGCTCCTGCCGACCATCCTGTTCCCCGTCCTCGGCATCATGCAGTCCAAAGACGTAAGAAACACAAACTCCTCCATGCAGATCAGTCACTGATTGGATAAGAGAATCACAATCAATCAAACAGGTGTCTTTCTTTTCTGTTCCATCTGTGAATCCTGTGACAAAGGTGTGGGTGTTGTGCTCTTTCAGGTGTGCATGCAGTACCTGAAGGACACCAACATGCTGTTCGTGGGTGGGCTGATGGTGGCCGTGGCAGTGGAGCACTGGAACCTCCACAAACGCATCGCGCTCAGAGTCCTCCTGCTGGTCGGTGTTCGACCTGCCCTGTGAGTCTACATAAATGAGTTCATGATCTCAAGTCTTCTTCAACACAGCAGGATGTTCATTTAGCAAAATACGGTTCCAGAGACTAGAGAGTAGGGGAGGAGTCAGGGTGGGGCTAACTGTGATTGACAAGATGCTGCCATGGCAACCTGAAAACTGTCTTCTTCAAGTATTCCTTTTTTCCTTTCTTCTGCCTTTATTTGATAGGACAGTGGACAGAGTGAGACCGGAATGACATGCAGGAAAGGAGCCACAGATCAGACTTGAACTAGGGCCGCCCGCTTGATGGACTTTAGCTTCCTAAACCGCTTCCTAAACCTAACCGCTAGGCCATCTGTGCCCAAGGGATTCCATTTTTTTAATGTTATGAAATGTCATGTGGGTGCAAATATTTAGTATTTGGTGCTGTTGGATGTTGATTTGCAGGAGACTCGGGGGCAGATGAATCGGGGGATTACCAGAGTCAGGAATGTCCTTTACCAAATTTCATGGCAATCCAATATTGGTTGAGATATTTAACTTCAGACTGTTGGTTCCAGTTGTTGTGATAGAAAGAGATAGAAAATACTTTTTCCACCCCCAGATGGATAACTTCTCTTAATCTTCCTTCATTGACAAATTTTGGTTTTCACAGGAATCATGCTGTGACGCTTTGCAAGACAGCACTCCCCACTGTTTGCACAATTTGAGGCAATGCTTTGGTTTCAAAGTTTGTCAGCCGATGGGGGCCCCCCTCTACTTGCCAGGGGCCCCAAGCAGTTGCCTGCCTTGCCTGTTGACAAGCAGCGCCTCTGGCCATGCTGATAGCTTGGCTAAAAACATAGATAGGGTTCCTTTGACTCAAATCTAGTGCTGATCATTGCTAAAATCTTTATATTGTTGGGGGGAAGGAGAGAATCTGCTGTACTCGCTATATGACGCATCAATCCACCCATGCATTCTTTAGATCCACTTATTTGGGTAAGTGGAAGTTTGTCAAGAAGTCTCCATTCCGGGGCGCTGGTGGCTCAGTGGTTAGGCGCGCGCCCCATGTATGGAGGCTGTATTCCTCCAAGCGGGCGGCCCAGGTTCAAATCCAACCTGTGGCTCCTTTCCCGCATGTCAGTCATTCCCCACACTCTCTCTCTCCCTGATTTCCAATTCTATCCACTGTCCTATCTCTCCAATAAAGGCACAAAAAGCAAAAAATAAATATTTTAAAATAAAGAAGCCTCCATTCCCAGCAGTATTTCCAGCTCCTTCAGGGGTAATCTCAGGCCAGATGAGAGAATAACTTTTCTAACGGGTTCAGGTCCACATTGTGTCCTATGCTTGTTGGATTTGTCCAAAGGATGGTTCAAGGAGGTGTTAACTGTTCCTACTGGTTTACTTTGTACCACAAGGGTTTTCATAATCCCATGATCCAGTCTCCGGTTCTCTGGTCTTATTTGATGTTGAAGATTGTTATAGCATCAACACCTTTTCGATGATCTTCTCTCCCTTTGTTTCCCAGTTTGATGTTGGGCTTCATGGGAGTCACAGCCTTCCTGTCCATGTGGATCAGCAATACAGCCACCACAGCAATGATGGTCCCCATCGTCCAGGCTGTTCTGGACCAGCTCAACGGCAAAGTGGAGCCCGAACCTTCCTCCACAGGACAACGAGGCATTGTTGTTCTACACCAGGAACGTCAGGAGAACACCAGCAGCATCCTGCAAAATAATGGTACGAAGTTCCTGGAGAATGGTGCAGTGTACGGCCACTTTACACTCAGGTTAGATTAACCTGTTTGGATAATATAGCCATAGAAATTAGATCTACCTAAATGGTAAATGGACTTGAGCTTGTATTGCTCTTTTCTAGTCTTCTGACTACTCAAAGCATTTTGACACCACATGTCACACCTACACATTCACACACTGATGGTAGAGGCTGCTGAGTAAAGAGTCCATCAGTATTAACTCATCCATTCATAGACATTCATATGCCGCAGACGAAGCAACGGGAGAAATTCGGGGTTAAGTGTCTTGCCCAAGGACACATCGAACATGTGGCCAGTGGCGATTCTAGAGTCAGCTGGGGCCCAAGGCAAAACCCTCCACCCTCCAACCAACTTTCAGCAGGACAATGAGAGTGAATGCGGTCAGATGGGCAAATCTTAGGGAGGTTTCCTAATGTTGTTGCGAAATTTGCACATTAAGAGTCACTGCTTTAGGTTCAATTTTGTCAGCCCTCTGGGGCCCCAGACCAGTAAGTTGCCTGCCTTGCCTGTTGACAAGCAGTGCCTCTGCATGTAGCTACAGGAGCTTGGGATCGAACCCCTAACCTTTTGGTTGAGAGACGACCAACTCTACCAACTGAGCCACAGCCTGATGACAGGTGCTAGGTGAAGGCTCAGTGGTCAAGGGCAGAGGGAGGAAGTCAGTCCAACATGGTCCAACCATATCAACAGGAAAAACTCTCCCTTATTGACAGGAGAAACTTTCCTTGCTCTTGTCTAGTTTTCATGTGGACGGACCCCGATGTCACTTTTTTAAGGAGTGAAAGAACCAAAAAAACATCTTAACAGCTTGACCACTTTTTGTGATGAGTATGAGACATTTTGTCTCACACTGCAAATTTTCCCGATTAATAGAAAAATAAACACATCGGACTCAGTGTGCAAGGTGTCTGTACGTAACAGTAGTCCAAAAAAAGTGTGAAAGGCCTTTACTGGATCGTAGTAGGGTTGGTAGGCTCTTTTGTCTACTTTTTTTTAACTAAGTCTCAGGGATTTAGAAATACTGTTCTTAGAGCTCTGAATCCTCCCTTTCAAACATTTCCACCAGGTCTGAATGGGCGGACTCCATCACAAGGCAACTCAGAGAAAACCAGCAGCCTACAGGAAGTGACCCCTGAGCAGAAAGAGTCTTCAGAGGGTCAGACGGAAAGACAGGAGATCCTCAAACCGATTCCAGAGGACAAGCCTCCATCAGACTGCACCGACAGCGGGCCTGGTGAGTCCAAGGAGAATAGTTAATATAAGAACTAAGGAATCTATAAAAGGGACTGTAGTGACTTTGTAGTTAATGAACTGAAAGATGCTAACAGTTGTTTAAAACTCTCTTTAAACTTTGCTTGTGGTCGTTTCAGTGGAGACGGTCCGCTGTCAGATGGTGTTGGAGGAGCTGAGCGACGATGAAGATGAGAGGAAGACGATGAGTAAAGGACTCCTGCTGTGTGTGTGCTACGCTGCAAGCATCGGAGGCATCGCTACTCTGACCGGAACTGGACCAAACCTGGTTCTGATTGGACAGATGAGCCAGTAGGTGCTAAAACACAACCACTGGTGCCTTGGGGACCTTCTTGTCTGTATTCAGCAATCCAGACATTTGATGAACAGAAGATTATCCTGATCATCTTTTTCTCACTTCCTGTCTGGGTTTTTCTTGTAGACTCTTTCCTCAGAACGGTGATGTAATCAACTTTGCATCCTGGTTCGCGTTCGCCTTTCCCACCATGATACTGACCCTTACACTGGCCTGGTTCTGGCTGCAGTTCCTCTACATCGGCTGCAAGTGAGTCGCTTCACTGGAACAAACAAAAATCTTAATTTAACTTTGATCTTCCTGTTTGTCAGTTCATGATCTTGACACCATTTCTCATAAAAAATACTAAAGACTACAAACTACCAAGCGTTACTTAAACACGTCTTTTGACCCATTGCAGCCTGCGGAGGACGTGGGGATGCGGGGCGGTGAAGTCAGAGAAGGAGCTAGCAGCGTACGAGGTGATAAGAGGCGAATATCTACGCCTGGGGAAGATGAGTTATGGGGAGAAAAATGTTCTGGCTCTCTTCCTTCTTATGGTGGTGCTGTGGTTCACACGAGATCCCCGCTTCATGGACGGCTGGGCCACGCACATCTTCAACTCCAGGGCCGAGTGAGTATCAGAACGTACAGCATCTGTTGTATCATTTGACTAAAGGACTTCTCTTAAGTTGTTATTCTTAAGTTTTCCACCAGAGCTTTTATATCTTTGGGCTGTTTTTAGAAGGTTTTGATTTCATATCTACATCGGCTTGGGCTGTGTGGCTGCAGATTTAAAGGTCTCATATTCAAAATCCTCTTCACCATGTTTCTCTAACACTAATATGTGTCTCTAGTCCGTCTACAAAACCCCCTTCTTTTGCCTCCTCCACTTTTCAGAAAATGTGTGCTTAAACAGAAACTGAGTCTGTCTTCTCACCGTACGCAATAGGGCATAGAGCGAGAAAGCCCGAGACACCCAAGCCCTTCCAGAGAGGGGGCGTGGTCAGACACAGCTCATTTACATATTTAAAGGTACAGACACAGAAACAGTCTGTTCTGAGCAGGGCTGAAATAGAGGGGTTTATAGACATGATCAAATGCAGGATCAGAGTGGATTTAGAACAAGAAACTTCAAAAACATGTTTTGAGGAGCTCTGAGACTTATTTACTCTGGATGAGGAGGAGGAGAATATGTGACCTTTAATGATTGGTGCAAATCATCCCGTTAACTGCTGTCTGGAGTTCATCTTTAACAGAAACACTGCTTTGAATACATTTGGCACATTTCTCTGTGTGTGTGTGTGTGTGTGTGTGTGTGTGTGTGTGTGTGTGTGTGTGTGTGTGTGTGTGTGTGTGTGTGTGTGTGTGTGTGTGTGTGTGTGCAGTGCTGTTCCTGCATTAATGTAAAGTGGAAAAAGATCAAGTTTAGAGGAATGAATGAACTCAAACTGCAGATGAAGCCAGATGTGGCCTCAGGGCAACATCCATGAACACACAGGAATCAGAGGTGAAGAACAAACAAGAGAAAACGTCACGGGTACAAGCGGTAAACTTTGGTGTCACGTCACCAGCACAGGGTCGACCTGTGGTACTGATCTGAGATCACCTGCATCAGGCTGGCATCATCTCTGCTTTTAGTGTTTGCACAAGTTATCTGACTGAAAGAGGAAGGCACTGTGTCCAAACTGCAGGAATCAAACTGTTTTAGTTCCAGTGGCCGTCACAGTCAGAGCTGAATTTGATCTTATTATTACATTTAAATAACATTTGCTGGCTTCTGAGATTCCAAACGTGACAAAAGTGTCCCTCTAAATCGTCAGCTTACTAATGTGATAATCACTCGGCCTCCAGCTGAAAATGGAAAGTTGAACAGGAATTTAAGATGCTAAACTTCAGAAATAAGATCTCTGTTAGTTTCAGTCTGTTAAGCAGAGCCTGCAGAGTGACGTCACGTGGAAACTTGAGTATCAAGATTCAGATCATGCACCAAACATCTGAATGTAAACACTCAGTATAACCAGGGGTAAGACAAGTCCAGGGCTGTCAGTGGCTCCACACTTAAGCCAACACTTCATGAAGTGTGGAGACGCTCTGGAGCTGTTACTATGACGATGATGCAAGTGTTGTTGTTGTTTTTGAATCGTCCTTTCTCACTCAATTCAGAGAGGAAGCTTTGTTTGAAACAGTGAAACTCATCTCACATGTTTAGAGTGTGTCCTCTTCATAAAGTGTAAAAAAGTTTCTCATCATCTTTATGTGGACAGAACTGAGCTCCGTCAGTGTGAGAGTGCAGCTCCGTCAGCGTGAGAGTGCAGCTCCGTCAGCGTGCAGCTCCATCAGTGTGAGAGTGCAACTCCGTCAGCGTGAGAGTGCAGCTCCGTCAGCGTGAGAGTGCAGCTCCGTCAGCGTGCAGCTCCATCAGTGTGAGAGTGCAACTCCGTCAGCGTGAGGGTGCAGCTCCGTCAGTGTGAGAGTGCAACTCCGTCAGCGTGAGGGTGCAGCTCCGTCAGCGTGAGAGTGCATCTCCGTCAGCATGAGAGTGCATCTCCGTCAGTGTGAGAGTGCAACTCCGTCAGCGTGAGAGTGCAGCTCCATCAGTGTGAGACTGCAACTCCGTCAGCGTGAGAGTGCAGCTCCGTCGGCGTGAGAGTGCAGCTCCGTCAGCGTGAGAGTGCAGCTCCGTCAGCGTGAGAGTGCAGCTCCATCAGAGTCAGCGTGAGAGTGCAGCTATGTCAGCGTGAGAGTGCAGCTATGTCAGTGTGAGAATGCAGCTCCGTCAGCGTGAGCGTGCATCTCCGTCAGCGTGAGAGTGCATCTCCGTCAGCGTGAGAGGGCAGCTCCGTCAGTGTGAGAGGGCATCTCCGTCAGTGTGAGAATGCAGCTCCGACAGGGTGAGAGTGCATCTCCGTCAGCGTGAGAGTGCAGCTCCGTCAGCGTGAGAGGGCATCTCCGTCAGTGTGAGAATGCAGCTCCGACAGGGTGAGAGTGCAGCTCCGTCAGCGTGAGAGTGCATCTCTGTCAGTGTGAGAGTGCAGCTCCGTCAGCGTGAGAGTGCATCTCTGTCAGTGTGAGAATGCAGCTCCGTCAGCGTGAGAGTGCAGCTCCGTCAGTGTGAGATTGCAACTCCCTGCAGAGTAAAGGTGCAGATAGTTTCTCTCCGCATTCAGACAAAACAAGTGTGTTTGTGTTTGTGTCTGAGATCATCAGAGCTATATGCTTTGATAATTATATCTGGAGATGGAGCAGATAGTGGGAGAACATGATGAACAATTTTTGGAGATATCTTAATCCATCATTAGAGAATCCGGACCTGACAGCTTTATCGTGTCTCACCTGGCCCCGCCCCCTTCCACCTTTTACCTAATTTCTTACCCAAACACACTCATTCATAAACTACCTGCTGGGTCAAATGACCGGCAGATGATGTCAGGGTGAGAGTGCAGCTCCGTCAGCGTGAGAGTGCAGCTCCATCAGTGTGAGAGTGCAACTCCGTCAGCGTGAGAGTGCAGCTCCGTCAGCGTGAGAGTGCAGCTCCGTCAGCGTGAGAGTGCAGCTCCGTCAGTGAGAGTGCAGCTCCGTCAGCGTGAGAGTGCAGCTCCGTCAGCGTGAGGGTGCAGCTCCATCAGTGTGAGAGTGCAGCTCCGTCAGCGTGAGGGTGCAGCTCCGTCAGCGTGAGAGTGCATCTCCGTCAGCGTGAGAGTGCAGCTCCGTCGGCGTGAGAGTGCAACTCCGTCAGTGTGAGAGTGCATCTCCGTCAGCGTGAGAGGGCAGCTCCGTCAGTGTGAGAATACAGCTATCTGGAGATGGAGCAGATAGTGGGAGAACATGATGAACAATTTTTGGAGATATCTTAATCCATCATTAGAGAATCCGGACCTGACAGCTTTATCTTGTCTCACCTGGCCCCGCCCCCTTCCACCTTTTACCTAATTTCTTACCCAAACACACTCATTCATAAACTACCTGCTGGGTCAAATGACCGGCAGATGATGTCATAGATTGATCTGTTTGTCCTGTCAGGTGTTTTTGTCCCGCTGGCTATCGTGTTTTCATTGAATGTGTGATGAAAACACGTGCAAGGTCAGCACCTAGAAAGTCATCTGAGAATTAAAAAACAGGACCGCAGTTCTCAGAACAGAGAAGAACAAATCAATTAGAAATTTGCTTTACTTACTGCCTTGTCGTCAACTTTGTCCTGATTTGTTATCTATGAGAAACAAGAACTAAAAATAGATTATGTTCTGGCTGTGCAGCTTTATGAGTGGTTGCTTATTATTGCGATTATCCTAATTGTAATCCTTTACACACATCGCTTGGAGAAACAATTATTATATGCACAACACATTGAATCAGTTTTATGTCAAAGTCATAAAAAAGGTGCTGGACAAGCTCTAAGATTGACTTAGAAATACAGAAGCACACAACAATTACAGGTCGTCTGTGACCTTTGACATGCAGTTTGTGTAAACCGACGATTTCAACATGTTTCCTGATTGCGCAGGTTCACAGTGAACCCGGACTCTTACAGACGTACTACTGATGATAAAAACTCAAGCTGAAAAGAACGATTCACCTGCAGTTAACTCTTCAGAGACAAGAACTGAACTCTACACAGATCTTCTGTTTAGTAATAATTTAATGTAGAGATTTTGAAATCACGCTAAAGGTTACAACGGGAACAGAAAGTTGACTTGGAAGTTTCCCAATTCTTTTTGTGGCTGGGTGCATGTTAATACAAACTGTGTGGGGAAATCTCATTCATGAACTGACGTTCTGAATCCATACAGAGAACAGGGAGAGACAGAGAGAGAGAGACAGAGAGAGAGAGACAGAGAGACAGAGAGAGAGAGACAGAGAGACAGAGAGACAGAGAGAGAGAGAGAGAGAGACAGAGAGAGAGAGAGAGAGAGAGAGAGAGAGAGAGACAGAGAGAGAGAGAGATACAGAGAGAGAGAGACAGAGAGAGAGAGAGAGAGAGAGAGAGAGACAGAGAGAGAAAGAGACAGAGAGAGAGAGAGAGAGAGAGACAGAGAGAGAGAGAGAGAGAGAGAGAGAGAGACAGAGAGAGAAAGAGACAGAGAGAGAGCGAGAGCTGATGTACAGGAAGTCAAGCTTGAGGATTCAAACAATACACAAACTTTTTTATTCAGGGGTCGAATGGCTCATGATAGCAACAACCCTACATTTCCACAGTACCCCCCACATCACTTACTACTCTCTCTCTCTCTCTCTCTGTCTCTCTCTCTCTCTCTCTCTCTCTCTCTCTGTCTCTCTCTCTCTCTCTGTCTCTCTCTCTCTCTCTCTCTCTCTCTCTCTCTCTCTGGCTCTCTCTCTCTCTCTCTCTCTCTGGCTCTCTCTCTCTCTCTCTGCAGGTTCGTCACTGATGCGACCGTCTCTCTGTTTGTTGCTGTTTTGTTGTTTGTTCTTCCCTCTGAGCCGCCGTCCTTCCTCTGCTGCAGGAAGAGCTCTGACACAGGTAACACAAAAACACACACACAAGTAACACACACACACACACACACACACACACACACACACACACACACACACACACCATTAATCAAAACCGTTATTTTTAATCTCTTATCCAATCAGAGTCTCAGGTGTCGAGAGGCCCCACCCCTTCTCTGCTGACCTGGCAGGTGACTCAGAAGAAAATGCCCTGGAACATCGTACTGCTGCTGGGAGGAGGCTTCGCCCTCGCCAAAGGCAGTGAGGTGTGTGTGTGTGTGTGTGTGTGTGTGTGTGTGTGTGTGTGTGTGTGTGTGTGTGTGTGTGTGTGTGTGTGTGTGTGAGTGTCTTTACTCTTCAGATGGAGCTCTAAGAACACCAGGATGTTTTTGTGGAGTTGAAGTGAAGGCGTTTGGATGAAGAGGTTTTAAAAGGTCTAGCTCTGAGCTAACATTACGCCTCCACTCACTGAAATATCCACTTTTTTATTTTTGTAGATGTTTCAGACTAAACTCTTATTCGGTAGCTTCAGGCAATCAAACACATTTTGGTGTTCTGAAGGACTTTTTAACCTGACTTCATGTTCTGCCGACGTATCAGAGCAAAGCATGGAGCAAAGTGTAGGACATGCCAACCCAGAAGCTCACTCAAATGTCACTGCAGCTGCAAACAGAGCTGGCCAATCAGAGGAGAGAGGGAGGCGGGACCTTAAAGAGACAGCAGCTGAAATTAAGCGTTTCTTAAATAAGGTTTTTGAGCTGAACTTCTCTCAAAGCTTCTCAGTGAGTGTCCCAGACTGACATCATTAAAGGTGACAGTGAGGAGAATAGATCAACTTTAGTATTGAACAGTCTCAAAAAATATAGAAACTTTAAAAATACGACATCTCTTTCATTAGACAGATGTTTAGGAGTAGCATGAATTCAGTAAAAATTGCAGGAAAACTCCTGCACACCGTCTAGATTGCACAAAAAACGTTGGCAACAATTTAAACAGTGTGCAGCAGTTGGCCTGCAATTGTTGCCGTGGTAACAAACAGGCATGGATATCATTACATTTTAATAGAATTGTGTCAAAGTTTAAAATTCTGGTGAAACAACTTTTTCTAAACATGCTAACAACGTGTGTGTGTGTGTGTGTGTGTGTGTGTGTGTGTGTGTGTGTGTGTGTGTGTGTGTGTGTGTGTGTGTGTGTGTGTGTGTGCCGCCAGGAGTCCGGTCTGTCCCGTTGGCTCGGCAATCAAATGACGCCGCTCCACTCGATCCCTCCCTGGGCGATAGCCGTCGTCCTCTGCCTCCTCATCGCCACCTTCACGGAGTGTGCCAGCAATGTTGCCACGGCAACCCTGTTCATGCCCATCCTGGCTTCCATGGTAACAAGACACACTGACAGTTTTCTATATACAGTCAAAAACTCCCACAAATAAATTAATGTACAACAAACAGTGAGTGAGCTAACAGTCCAGGTGTGTTTCTCACAGACTCAGATTAGCTGCTAACTGTTGCTAACATGTAAATAAAATAAAGTTGTTCTCTGGATTAAAAGTGTGTAGAGTTTAGACTTGTTGGACGGTCTGTTAGTCCAATAAAGCTCCCAGAGAGACAGATTATTAATCTGATATTTACATGAACAAATCTCCAAAAGGCTCAAACAGCAAACACAGCCCAGAGGTCAAAGGTCATGGACTGAATTAGCTTAGGGGACACCTAGCAGACAGCTAGCAGCTACCACCTGTCACTCAAAGAGGCCACGCCCCCTAATCCTACATCACTTTAAGAGCTTAATATAATGTAAACAGGTGAGTTAAAATTTTAGCCTGTGCAGTTGAAGAGAGAAATTAGCTATCGGAAGGAACAGGAGACAGACTCTAGTGGACACTGGAGGAACTGCAGCTGTAATGTTGGACATTTTAACATGGGGCTCTATGGGGACTGACTCACTGCAGGAGACAGACTCTAGTGGACACTGGAGGAACTGCGGCTGTAAAGTTGGACATTTTAACATGGGGCTCTATGGGGACTGACTCACTGCAGGAGACAGACTCTAGTGGACACTGGAGGAAATGCAGCTGCAAAGTTGGACATCACTGCAGATTTTGTGGGAGGACAATAAGTTACATTTTGCATCTGTATTTAGATATTTACTGACCTTCGCATGTTTTCTCTGTGTCCTTACTCAGTCCCAGTCCATAAGTCTGAACCCTCTGTACGTGATGATCCCGTGCACGCTCAGTGCCTCCTTCGCCTTCATGCTGCCAGTGGCCACGCCCCCAAATGCCATCGTCTTCTCCTACGGTTTACTTAAAGTGTCCGACATGGTGAGTCTTGCTTTTATCAGGACAGGTTTTAAAAAGACATCTGAATCCTGCCTTTGAATTCATGATAACCTTCTCCTCCTCCTGCAGGCTCGGGCAGGCGTGGTCATGAACATCATCGGGATCAGCTGCATCACACTCGCCATCAACAGCTGGGGTCGCGTCATGTTCAACCTGGACTCGTTCCCATCATGGGCAAACGCCACAGCGCCTGTTTGAGTGCGATAACTCCTTCTTATCTTACTCGGTAAACACCTTAAGGCGTCATCAATGAACTCCAACCAGGAAATTGTAGGCTAGTTTTCGTTCAGGAGCTTCAGACTTCAAAAACATTGTTGTCATGTTCGGATCCTCTCTCCTCGAATGCAAAGTTTGTTTGAAAACTTCGGCTTTAAGCTCCAAACAAAGACATTCAATCATGAATTCCTGTAAGCTTACCTCTCATTTATGGGTTAGGGTCCTTACTTTATTTCAAAATAAAAGCACACAGCAAGTAAAGTACTCTCAGCTTAGGACACTACAAACATTCAAAATAAAAGCCTCAACTGTTTTTATTGTGAAATGTGAAAAAATGGAATTTGATCATGTAATTAAAAATGTGTTTAAGAGGTGCAGATGGCCTAGCGGTCAGGTCGCTCCCAATGTAGGGAGGCTATGGTCCTCCCAGTAGGCGTCAGACCTGCGGCTTCTTCCCCGCATGTCATTCCCCACTCTCTCTCTCTCTCTCTCGCTCTCTTCTCTCTCTCTCTCTCTCTCTCTCTCTCTCTCTCTCTCTCTCTCTCTCTCTCTCTCTAGTTCTCTACTCAGTCCTATCAAATATAAAAACTGAGAGAAGAAACTTCCAGAAGAAGATACAACAGGCTGAATCTCTGTAGATTCAAGCAGTTTGAAGTGTTTATAAAACATGTGTTTGTGTTGTTTTTCTATTTAAATGTCAGAGTTTGTATTTAGTAACATTGCAAGTGAAGAAGTGAATGTGTACTGTACAGATGTAACCTCCAGAGTTTTTTACCTACTTGTTGCTAACAGTTTTATTTGTTGTTAATAAAAGTTGATCTTAAGAGAAAACGTGTGAACAAACTTTTCAAATTATTTTTCTTTCATATTGTATTTTCAGATTTATATTATAATACAAAGTAAAATCATGGCGTAATGTTTGATTTAAACTGCGGATTGTTTGTATTTCAGGTTGTCAAATGTCTCCCTCTAGCCGTCAGAAAATTTTGAACCGTAGGGGCCGTAAACTGACGTAAATGGTCGGAAAGCGTTTTCGCTCATTTCCGTTAAATATGGCTTCCCAGTGTTTACGATGGTAATTTGAGCTTAACAAAGAAAGCGTTAAAACTTTATTTTTGTTCACGTTTTCGATCAACGATCACCTTTGTCGTCAGGACACAACCTGTGTGCTTACAGACCTGCCGTCGTCATGGAAACAGGTTCGTGCGGAGCTACGTGTTGCTAATATTAGCACTGTTAGCATCCTTGTGTAGACGGCTGAACTCCATCAATGAATGAGCGTATTTTAAGATGTTTACGTTCTTTAAACATTATCAGCGAGTTTAGAAAGAAGAAGAGATTCTTGTTCGTTTGAGATAACGCTCATTTTCAACCCGGCATCATTTCTGAAAGGTTTTTAAACAGTTGAAATGTTAATGTGAACAGCTTTGTTGTCATGACGGATCAGAAATCTCTGTTTTAAAAGCAGCTCAGAACAGTATGAACATTCACAGATGATTTTCAGTATAGTTGTCTGAATGTATAAAGTGAATATCTATAGCAGCTAGTACTGCACACTGACTTTACTAAACACACAGATGGGCCAGCGTCTGAGGAGATGGATAAACATTTGTACAAACAAAGCCTCTCAAATCCTTATATTTGTCACAGTACAGGTGGAGGTGATGACAAAGTGAACACTGGCCAGGCCACTCAGTCTGAACATCATCAACATTTTCCTTAGTATTAAGGTCCAATCAGTGAGCTGTGTAGTGAGTGAAATGATAAAGTGACCTCACTAAATGATCAGACATTAAGGAAACATGCTATGTTGAAGTGCTGGCTTCTCTGACAACAATGCAGCAGCCAGTATGTCCTCCTTCTAACTTTAGATTCTGCTCCTGAATGCTCTGGATTTGTTTGGACCAGAGAAGGTAGGCGGTTTGAAGGCACCCCCACACAGCCGTTTTGGACGCCCCTCAGTTTGCCAGATATGAGAGCAGTTATCAGGTCAACAGGTGTTGCAGTGATGGAAGCGGGCGAGAGAAGTGGTTCAGATAGAAGTGATTGTACCCGACCTAAAAAGCCTCTGCATGTTTCCAGTAAGCTCCACGAGCAGAAACGTGCTCAAACTAGGATCAATATTGGAGATGCTTTTGAAAAATGGAGAGATTAGAGTTACATATTGCTCCTTTAACACTAACAATTCTGAAACACTGTTAACGGTATTGTCACCTCTTCACAAAGCGTCACATGTTAACCGTCATGTTGTTTTTGTGTGTGTTGTGTTTCAGAGGAGCAGGCCAGGAACCGTTTCCAGTCCGAGCTGGAGTTTGTTCAGTGTTTGGCCAACCCAAACTACCTGAACTGTGAGTGACAGCGGGCAACAGTTCCAAGATTACAACATTCATATTAATATTTGTTCAATCAAATCTTCTTTGATTGTTTTAAATGGGATGCGATTAAAAAGATTAACATGTTTAACTTTATAGTTTAAACTCCTGGCTGACTTCCTGTGTGTTGTGTTTGTGTCTTTAGTTCTGGCTCAGAGAGGCGTCCTGAGAGAGAGACCGTTCATCAACTACCTGAAGTACCTGCTGTACTGGAAGGAGCCCGAGTACGCGAAGTTCCTCAAGTAAGACCACCTGCTGTTCTCATCTGTCTGTTTATACAAAGCAGGGCTATTCAACTTAAAGGTCACATATCCTCCTCCTCTTCAACTAGTTTAAGTGTCAGAGCTCCTCAAAACATGTGTGTGAAGTTTCTTGTTTTAAATCCACTCTGATCCTGTATTTGATCATGCCTATAAACCCCTCTATTTCAGCCCTGCTCAGAACAGGCTGTTTCTGTGTCTGTACCTTTAAATATGTAAATGAGCTGTGTTTGACCACGCCCCCTCTCTGGAAGGGCTTAGGTGGCTCGGGCTTTCTTGCTCCATGTCCTGCTGCAGGATGTACTGCAAGAGAAAAGGAGGAATAAATCTATTGGAGCTTTTGTGTGCCTTTTATTCATTCAGATCCAAAAACATGTAAAAATAGAGCTGTGGTAAAAAATAATTATCTCCTCTCTCCTCCCCTGCATCCTCTCTCCTCCCCTGCCTCCTCTCCTCTCCTCTCCTGCCTCCTCTCCTCTCTCCCCTCTCCTACCTCCCCTCTCTGTTCCGTGCAGGTATCCTCACTGCCTGCACATGCTCGAGCTGCTGCAGTACGAACACTTCAGGAAGGAGCTGGTGAATGCTCAGTGCGCCAAGTTCATCGACGAGCAGCAGCTGCTGCACTGGCAGCACTACTCCAGGAAGCGCACCCGGCTGCAGCAGGCGCTCGCCGAGCAACAGCAGCCACAGCAGCAGCAGCCGCCTCACGGGAACACCGCCACCAAGTGATGATGTCACTGGAGGTCGGCAGAGGACTGAACATTGGGACTGTATATTGGAGGTCTGAGGCTGATGTTTGAGACACTTCAGCCATGTTTGTTTGTTTTTTCTTTGAATTGATCTTTTGTACAGGAGGCTTTAATGTGGTTATTAAAGAGTTGTGATTTGAGAAAAACAGCTGACTAAAGGAGTGTTATGTCAGAGTTAAGCCCTGAGTATTATTAACTACGTAAACATGACATCAGCCTGCGTATCCTGCGGTGGTTTGGAGCGTTGGTTGTGTACGTCCTCAGAAGCCAAAACAGCTGGCTCTACTCATCATCTCTACTTCAGTGTTTTACGCCGTCTGATTTATGTGGTGCTCCCTCTAGAGGAATCCTCCAGTAACACATGTACATGTATGTATATATGTGAACATTTGCATTCATGACACAACTGGTTGTCTCAGTTGTCACCCTACTCTGTAAAATGTACTGTAAAAAGCGAGTGTATTTGAGCCTGTCATGATACAAGAATTTTAAAAACATTGATAAGATATTAATAACAAGACAATATATTAGTAACTTCTTGTTTTTAATTTAAAAAAAAAAAAAGTCTAAAATGTAGAGAATACATTTCAGTACCCAAATGTTATCAGTGTATTTGTACGATTGAGACAATGTGTAGGCTGTTGCTTGCATTTTTATTTTATTTGATAAACTTTATTAATCCCTGAGGGGAAAGTTTGGCTTACACTCTGTTTTTGAGAGAAATGCTTCACACACAAAGACCTGAAATACACACACACACGTGCACAAACAGGACCTGTGGACCTGCAGAGATGTCAGAGTGAGGCTGCTACACGGGGAGCGCTCACCAGGAGGGTTCGGTGCCTTGCCCATGGGGACCTCGGCAGAACACAGGAAGTGACCTGGCACCTCTCCAGCTAACAGACCAACTTCCAGACTTGAACCGGTGACCCTCAGCTTCTCAAACCGAGTCCTCGCAGACTAAGCCACTGCTGCATCGTTGTGATGTTGGATTCATTCCTCCTCTACACAGCCATCTAATGAAATATATGAAGTTGTTTTTTTTTTACTTCAGCCCTGTGTTCTCTAATATAACGGAGTAGACATTGTTTAAAAATATGTGGTCTTGATGTATTGACAACAGGTTTATGAGTCTGCTGTTTGGCTCCCACTTGTGATTATTAATAAATTATTTTCAGAGCTGAACCTAAACCCACAAAACCCTCAGTGTCCTCGTTATAGCTGTCGACAGCTGAAAGTACGTTGAGGCACAAATATCCTACTAAGACTTCAACAGGTTGACTTTAGTGTTAATTTACTTTAGTTAATATTTAAGACTTCATCACACTACCAGGAGTCAATTCAATAGTTTACAGTTGATTTGTTGTGACTTTAGTTCAAATTATTCTGAATTTGTTCAGTAATACTCTTCTTGCTTTGCTCCATGATTATGTGATTCATATGTCACATAATAACTTTCCTTTTATTAACACTATTTCTGTTCATCAAGATTCATTTCTATTTAAAATGCTCTTTTGGATATTTAATTACCGTATTTGTCTGTTATAACTTTTTAGTTTTAGACTTAAATTTTAACCTCTCAAATAACAAAGCAGTCTCAAATCTTTTTGAGGAATTAAAGCTAAAAAATGAATTCTACTTCGCATACAGTACATCCTCTGATAAATAAACTGAAGTACTTTGATTGTATTTCTGTGGTGTTCCTGTAGGAGACCATGAAGCAACCAGACTGAAGCAGCACGTTGTGAAGATGGACGCCATCATCTTGTCTTTGCAGTGCTGATTCTGAAGTGTCATGTCTTCACATTGGACTCAAAGGTAAAATGATCTCTCATATGATTGGACTGTTTTATTGTAACCGCTATCAGCATCAAAGTAATTTTAGTAACAATTTATATTCTTATATAAAATGTAAGGAAGACTAGCAGAAGATTTTAACAGCCTCTATGGTTCTGCAAGAAGTTCATGTTTAAATTGTTCTTCTTTCTGTCTTCAAGGAAATCAGTGCTCAAAGGAAACAGCAGTCCAGACTCTGATTCCAGCTCCGGTGAGGTTCAGCACACAAATTGGCTGTCTGATTGTTTTATGGGTAATTACCACACAAAACCAAATCAATACATTAAATTGACTTTTTTTTTAGCTAAATACTGAAGCTACTTCTGCATATTTGTCATAAAGCACAAGAATCCAACTGACTGCAGTTTCTGCTCACACTGCTGAAATCATGTCTCACTGTTTAAGTTTCACAGTTGTACTGTGAGTATCTGTAACTTAAGAAATCAACAGGAGACACAAAATGCCAGACTGTTTGACAAGTCTGTGATTGAATAAATTGAAATGGAATCTCTTGCATATATTGCTATGCTTATTGGCTTTAAATGTTTAATATTAAATAAGTTTGAAGGCCATTTATCTCAGACGAGCCCGGCTGTGACAAGCTAAGCTCGTCTGTTAGCTTTGCTGTTGTCTTAGCTGTTGTTGGTCAAGAAGAAATTAATGTCAGTTCAAGGCCTTTTCAAATGTGAACTATAAACTTAACTGCTAAATTATTTTACTGTGACCAACACTTTGTCTTGCTCCAGTTAATCAGAGACAGTCATATCAGATTTTTAAAAAGTTTATTTAAACATTTTATGAAAGAAATCTTCAATAAACAACCCCTGGCTTCATTAACCGTGTGGAAAATAAGTAAGGGAGACCATCAGGTCGAACTGCTGGGACATAGGAGAAAGTATAAAAAATAATTTAACAAAGAAATCCAAACAAAAATCAAATAAAGTAAAGAGATCCTGGATGATTGTTTGACTGTTAAAATATGATGGAAGAGCAAATCCAACACAACCCTCCAGCATCTGGCCTTTCAAACACAGGGCAACATCATGTTAAGAAAAATAGCACCATTGAATATTGACCAGGATCTCTGTGTTTTATCTGAGGATGACTATGGTAGCCTTCTCACTGTTCACTGTCACAGATGAAGGTTGAAATTAGTCATTTTTAGGTTCTGTTGACTGTAAAATGGAAAAGAAAACATCACCTTTCTATTTAATATTTAGCTGGTGTATGACTCAGTGTGATTTTTATTTTAGAAGACTGTATTGTTAACAATATCTTGTTTTGACAATCCTCTTATGAAACTTAAAAACAATCACAGGATATAAACTTTTAACAGATGATTTTAACTTACACTTCACCTCTGTGGAAGATGTCAGACCAGCTGCTTTTATCTCTTCTTTGCCTAAATGAAAAGACAAAAAACAATTGATTTACTGTTCACTTAAATATATTAGAAAAGCAGACTTGAATCACATTGCAGACTATCAGTTTCTTACAGAATACAACATATCTTACCACCTGTAGCCTACGGTCTGTGGTGCTAACCTAGCTTAAATATAGAATGATTTCGGCAAAAACAGAGGACTGGGTCCTCCAGCCCACGTATCTATTTTTTTGTACATTCTTAATTTTTCTTTTTTATTTAAATTGTACTGTGTTCACTTTTTGTTTGCAATCTTTGCTCTTTGCTGCTGTAACAATGTAAATTTCCCCGTTGTGGGATAAATAAAGGATTATCTTATCTTATCTTGAACCTTTTGGACTTTACAACTTTAAACTACACCTTTAAAATCAACTGGATCAGAAAATTTATATGCAACCCTAATTCAATCTGGAACTTTATCCCAAACTACATTTTCTCTAAACTTGGTGGTCTATCTTTTGTGCTCAAATGTAACTATAATATTGAAAAAATACCAATTAAATTAGCCAAGCTCAACAAACAAATGCTCTTAGCTTGGTCACTCATTTATAAACACAGTTTCTCTCCACACAAATACCTCATTTGGAACAATTGTGATATCTTGTTCAAGAACAAAACTTTATTTTTTCAAAATTGGTTTGTTAATAATATTATTTTTCTAAACAGTTATTTAATTCAGAAGGGCTTTTGATGAATTATTCTGAGTTCCTGTCTACCTATCATAACCCTGTCACCCCAAGAGAATTTTCTATTGTAATGGATGCGATTCCCAAAGGTGTAATAATGTTGTTCAAAAGTTATACCGATCTTTGTGTGTCCCCTTGCTCATTCTCATTAAATGAAACCATGGAAATGTGTTTCTTATCTAGTCCTTCAACCAGGAACAACAAGGTTAGATCACTGTTCCATATGTGATCCACTACTGGAGAAGATTTGTCCCAAATATAAACCTTATCCTCCAGATACTTGATCACAAACAAACCTCGTGATGTCTGCTTTAAATTAATTCATAGGTGCTATCCCACACAACATTATTTACAAAGATTGAAAAAAGACATTGATGTTAGCTGTTCTTTTTGTGGACTTGTTAGCGAAACACCAAGACACCTGTTTTGGAGCTGTCCCTCGACTGTTGTTTTTTGGAAAAATTTGGTTGGATATATTCGAAGTACAATTCTTAAAAACTTTAATTTATTATACAAAGATGTGCTTTTCGGTTTTTATGATTTCTGCAACTCAGAACTAAAACAGTACCATATTATTAATCTTTTTTATCATTTTGGCTAAATTTCATATCCATAAAAGTAAATTTGCGAACAGAAAACCTATTTTCAAACATTATTTTAATGAGCAGTACATAAAATCCATCCAGCACTCTGAGAACCCGAAGGCCCTGAAGACTCTTGAATATTATATCATTTTAATTGTGTAAACTGAAGACCCTTCCATTTCTACCCTTCCCTATGTTTTCTTTTGTTCTTTTGTTCGCTAATCTAACTTTGTAACATTGTCTGTGTTTACAATAAAGTTGTAAAAAGAATAATTAAAAAAAATAGTAAAGGGCATATTTTGGCTTCAACAACGTAAGTGGGCAGTGTGTTAGGGTTATTTATCGTTGTTATTGATCCTCGGCCGTTGCTAAGCTGCACGTTTCAGTTGCGCGACAACAATGACGTCACTGTCAGCGGCCGGTGAGTGAGCGAGTAGAGTCCGAAATGTTTTTTAATTTTGCTGAGTGAGTGCACTATATAGTCCAGTGCATTAAACTCACTATATAGTGAATAGGGAGTAGGGAATGAGTGAGTGATTTCGGACACAGCCACAGTGTGCGCCCTCTGAGCGGAACGAGTTCGGTACACCGCGACGGACGGAGGGACTTTACGGTAACACAATACACCCACAATGTCTGATCTGTCTAAATATTTGATTTAACGTGAAGTTTACGGCCCTGCGCAGTTCAGTCTATGATTGTAACGAGTTAATCAAAGTGTGAAGCTTGTTTACGTGTTTTTAAAAATCCTTTGAGATTCAGATTTAAAGCATACACTCTTTTCCTCTAGCGTTAGTTCAAAGCAGTACGCGTTTGTTTCTGTTTTATTTCACTCTTATAAACATGTTTGTTTAGTAGTAACTCAACTTAAACAGCGTCCAGACCCAACGTGTCAAAGTCCAGACTTCCGGTGACTTTACCTGTTCAAATGTCACCTGTTCAGAATCATGAGCTTATCTACTTTAACTAACCTAACTTTAGTTTGTTTAATCAATACTGTTTAAATTGTCATCTCCTGTTTTAACTGAACTAATCAGAGTTTTGGAGCCTTGAAAAGGGGATTTATAATTCATGTTTTTACGATAACTTTTTGTACTTTCTTTGTTTATTTCCTGTTAAATTCTGGACCTATACTCCATTATACGGAGTCCAAGTGACATGGATGATCTTTTTTAAGTGTTCCATTTAAATTGTAAGCATCTGTTTAAAAAAAGAAAGAAAATTGCACACATGATTTAGTCATTTGTACACATGTTTTCTTTCGTATTTGGTGCACCTGTTTCATAAATTGCACACACATTTTAGTAACTAAAGCAAGTGTGCTTTATTCATATTTTGCTTACCTGTTTCATAAATTGCAGGTGCGTTTGAGTTTCTTTTACACACGTCTTTATTTAAAGTAATTACTCTAGAACTTGTGGTTCAAGGTTCAAGGTTGTCTTTATTATCCCTGCAAGAGGGCAATTTGTTTTGAAGTCAGCAGTAAAATACACACATGCATACATACAGCCCGCCATGAGCAAACAACATAGAAAGGACAATAAATAAATACAATAGATAAGAAACAGAGGCAACACAGTTAGTGGTTTAAAAAGGTGATGGCAGCAGGAACAAAAGAGTTTCTCATCCTCTTTGTCCTGCATGCTGGCAGGCTGAATCTGCGGCCTGACGGCAGCAACTTAAAATCCTTAGACAAAGGATGACTTTGATCTGCCAAGATTGACTGTACTTTCTTAAGACACTTTGTTTTATATAAATAAGAATTGTCAGAAAGGGACGATCCTGAGATTCTGACACACAGTTTAACAATGCTCTGCATTTTGTTGCGGTTTTTGATGCTGAGTGATCCGTACCAGGTTACCATGCGGAATGTTAAAAACCGATTCAATGAAACAGGAATAAAACATTTTCATAAAAGTGCTGTCAACATTAAAATTCCTAAGATTCCTCAGAAAGTGCACACGCTGATGAGCTTTTTTGCAGACAGCTTCAGTTTGGAGCTCGAAGGTGAGTTTGTCATCGATGATAGTCCCCAGGTACAACAGCCTGGTTGTTTAATAAAAACAGGGGAAATGACAGAGGGATCTTTCCTGAAATCCACTGTAATTTCTTTAGTCTTTAGGACATTAATGTCTAAGAAGGATGACCTGCACCAGTCTGTGAATTCACTCACGACTGGACCGTGATCTGGGTCATCAGTGCTCAGGAGGGAAACGATCACAGAGTCATCTGCAAATTTGATGATGTGCCGGTTCTCATGTCTGCTTTGACACTCCTTTGTGTATAATACAAATAAAAGGGGAGAAAGGACACATCCCTGGGGTGATCCAATAGAGGAATAAAGAACATCTGATACGATGCCATTTGCTCTTACACGCTGTGACCTTCTTGTTAAAAATTCCATCAGCCAGCATATAATACCACTGTCAATGTTGTGGATGGACTTGAGCCTGTCTGCTAAGATGTGTGGTTGTATGCAATTAAAAACTGAGGAAAAATCAATAAAAACTAGGCATGTGAGGGTCTTAGCCCCCTTAAGGTGTGTCAGGACTGTGTTTAACAAAGTCCCCATTGCGTCCTCAACACCCCTGCCTGACCTATATGCAAATTGTAATGGATCCAAATTTGCTTCCACAGTTTTTAAAAGTGCGTTCCATTTGATCTCATAATTCAGAAATTCTGAGTCGCCAGTCTGATACGTACCGCATGTCGGGGTTAACAGTCAGTCTCTCCCTCTCTCCCTCTCTCTCTCTCTCTCTCTCGCTCTCGCTCTCAGGGTGTGAATGATGTTGCAGAGGGTGGCGGTGATCGGTGCCGGGGCGGCGGGACTCTGTGCAGCCAGACACATCCAGTCCCGCCTGAACATCTTCGCCCCCCCAGTGGTGTTTGAACTCACTGAGAACGTCGGAGGCACCTGGTGTTATGACGAACGCGTCGGGATGTACGACAACGGACATCCAATACACAGCAGCATGTACAGAAACCTCAGGTAGGAAACAGCCATAGAAACCTCCGTACTTAACGATAACTTTGAGCTCCTTTTACTTCATGTTACTTTCACATCATTTATCTGACAGCTTTACACAGAAACAGAACAAAGAGTGAATAAAATGTGCTGTTTGTTTTTTGACCTCGCTGCAGAACCAACCTGCCCAAAGAGGTGATGATGTTCCCTGATTTCCCCTTTGAGTCTCAGCTGAGCAGCTTCCTGCCCCATCAGGAGGTCCAGAGGTACCTGGAGAGGTACTGCGAGAGCCACAACATCCGGCCTCACATCAGGGTGAGTCTAACCTGCAGTTCATTACCTGGATCAAGGTTGTTTCTGATAATTAATACTTTTTGAAACCACCCATGTTAAAATGATGCGAAATGATAGATTCTAGTTAAAATCAAACAATATCCCCTCGTCTTTTGCCTGCTCCACTTTTCAGAAAATGTGTGCTCAAACAGGCCGTTTGGAGAGTTCTCCTTCATGACATCACAAAGGGCAGTAACCCCTCCCCCAGGTGGGTGACACTCCCACAGCTAGGTGTTTGTTCTGCCCTCTGAGTCTACCTTCTCACCGTAAACAATAGGATATCGAGAGAGAAAGCACAAGACACCCAAGCTCTTCCAGAGAGGGGGCGTGGTCAGACACAGCTCATTTACATTTAAAGGTACAGACACAGAAACAGTCTGTTCTGAGCAGGGCTGAAATAGAGAGGTTTATAGACATGATCAAATACAGGATCAGAGTGGATTTAGAACAAGAAACTTCACACACATGTTTTGGGGAGCTCTGAGACTTACTGGTAGAAGAAGAGGAGGATATGTGACTTTTAATTACGAAAAATTCCTACACACTATCTACATTGTACCAAAGCTTTAAAAACACCTAGAGGCCTTGGACTTCTGCATTTGTTGCTGTGGTTTTGAAACAGGTATCAACAAAGTTAGATTTCGATTCGAACATTTAAAAACTTTTACCTTACTCCCTGAATTTCAGTTTAACACGGTGGTGGAGACCGTGAAGCCGGTTGTCGTGACAATGGAGGACGAGGAGACAAGGACGACAAGGACAACATGGGAAGTGACATCATCTGACTCGTCAGGTTGTCAGAAAACGGAGACCTTCGACTCTGTGTTTGTCTGCTCGGGGTGAGATGTGACAGCCGGTTTATGAAGTTATTCCATCTTTCACTGATCAAACGTTTGTTTCCCTGGAAAATAAATGTCTCATTCAGTAATTTCTTCATTTTTGTTGTTTGTTTTTCAGGCACTACTCCGACCCTAACGTCCCAGACATCCCAGGCATAGAGAACTTTAAAGGTAAACTCATGGTGCATACTGAAACCTTAAACCTGCACACAACATGCACAGGCTCTCTCTCTCTCTCTCTCTCTCTCTCTCTCTCTCTCTCTCTCTCTCTCTCTCACACTCTCTCTCTCTATGCAGGAAAGGTGCTCCACAGTCACTCGTACAGGTATGCAGAGCCGTTCTCAGGTCAGTCGGTGGTGGTTCTGGGAGCCAAAGCTTCAGGACTGGACATTTCCATTGAACTGGCAAAAGTTGGAGCCCAGGTAACAAACACTGCAGGGTCCGGCTGATATATACAGCAACTTGAAATGTTTCTAAACGACGACACATTCTGTGCAGTTCTACATTAGCTTAGGTTTTTTCACGACTGTATTTCCAATACAGCACGGTTTAAGGATGCCTATTTCTCTTTTTCCAGGTGACTCTGAGTCACAGTCGTCCTCCTTTAACAGTTCCTCTTCTTCCTGGGATACGACAGTCCAGTCCAGTGGTTGCAGTCGACAAGAGCGGCTGCATTCGCTTTCAGGTTACTGAAGACTTGTACACATCTGTAGCTTAGCCTCTGTTGTTTGTTAAACTCATATGTGAGTATGACAGTATGAAGATGATGTTCTGATGTCATCTTCAAAAAATTAATCGGAAGCCGCTTGCAGGTGGAAAAAATAACAGAGAATATAAATGTATGGATCAGGGTTGTCATGATAACAGAACTTTGTCTATTTAATTGATTGTACAAACGTGAAAACAGTTCAAGTGCTACACGATACAAACCAAACAATGCAATCAAATCACAGAGTGGGAGGACAGCAAAGACAAAAACACTGCAACATACTGAGACATCGACCGGTTTAGACTTCCAACAAAGACAGAAATTACAAAACAAAATTGAATAATAAAAAGGATACAAGAAGGAAAAGGGGGGGGGGGAGGAGAGATGATACTTTTATAAGGTGGACTTGAGAGGGAGAAGAAACGATTGAGAAAGTTGTACGGTATGTGTGTGTGAGTTTTGATAATATGTTGACGTGTGTAATAATGATGTGGATTGAAAGGAGAGGGTTTGTGTAGTGTTCATTAGGGTACGACCGATATGGGATTTTGGGGACCGATATCAATACTGGGGAGAAAAAGTTATTTCTTACATCTATCTTCAAACTGTAGAGATAGATAGTTATAGATTAACACATTTACTGTGTTGATCCCTCAAATGCAGATATCTTTTTGTTTCTAGAAGAAAAGAAAATTCAGAATCTTGGAAAACCAGCAAATGTTTCCGTAAAATTTTTTGTTTGTCTTTACACTCTGGGGGGAACCTTTATTGTATGTATATAAAAAACGTTTCCAGCCTGTTAAAATGAAAGATCTCTGTTCCAGGACGGGTCAGTTAGCTCCGCTGACACCCTGATGTTCTGCACCGGCTACAACTTCAGATATCCGTTCCTGGATTCGGCTCAGCTGAGTCTGGAGATCCAGGACCATGTGGTGTCTCCCCTTTATCGCTTCCTGATGCCCCCTGCCTTCCCCTCACTCTTCTTCATTGGCATCTGCAAAATGATTGCCCCTTCCCCTACTTCAACTGTCAGGTGAGCTCACATGTCCACAAGCCAACATATATTTTGATTCTCTTTAAGTAGCTTCATGAATCATAAAGAGAGAAGAGGATGGGGCCAAGTATTGAGTCTTGTGGGACACCACCACATTTTAGAGCGGCTTCAGACAAAGTGTGATTGGTAGTGGAAAAAGGAAAATTACACTCAAGTGTTTCCAAACATAATGGCTGCTGTGGGCGGGGCTGTTACTCCTCCCCCATGTGGTGGCAGGGCTAGGGGTGAGAGAGGGAGGGGTTCACTTGTTTGAGCCTCTCAATGAAACATAAACAAGCTGAAGGAAGAGACATCCCGTCAGTGATAACACAGAGCTGAGAACAACAAACCCAAAGGGAGTTTGACTTCACTCTCTGTTTAGAAGTGCTTGCTCAACGATATATTTACACCGGGTATTGTCATTAATATTCAGTTTATTCTTAATAAGATCACATGAAACAAGAACACTGCAGATTGATAGATCAAGTTTAATCATCCTTAATTCTGATCTCTGCAGATCCAGTTTGCTCTGGCTGTGTTGGACGGCTCCGTCACTTTACCGCCTCGGGTCCAGATGGAGGAGGAGGTCCATCGAGAGCAACAGGAAAAGATAGAGCGCGGAGTCGAGCAGCGCCACCTGATGTTAATGGAGCAGGAACAGTGGGAGTACTGCCACACGCTGGCTGGCATCGCAGGCTTCCCGCCTCTGCCTCCAACCATTCGCAGCCTGTACGAGGAGGTGTGGAGACAACGACGGGTTCATCCGGAAAACTACCGAAGACTGAACTACAGGCTGGTCAGCGACACAGAGTGGGAGCTGATCAAGTGACTGATGGAGGCAGGGATTAAAGTTCTCCGTTGCTACGACGGATTTCCGTCAATTTCAGAATTGTAATAAGTTGGGGCACGCTGGTGGCGCAATGGTTTTGAGATGTATTGAGACTCTCGTCTCGAGCGGCAGGCCCGGGTTCGCTTCCACCTGTGGCCCCCTTCCGCATGTCATTCCCCTGCTCTCTCTCCCTGGTTTCCGACTCTGTCCACTGTCCTCTCTCTGCACGAAAAGCCCAAAATAAATCTTAAAAAATAAATAAAATTGTAATAAGTCGAGCAGAATGTAGGTTAGTGACAATTGTGCAAACTGCTGTTTTTAATGTCAGGCATTTATCTGAACCATGTAACACAAATGTAGTTTTGCGTCTGTTTGGCATTTCAATGTAAGCTACAGTCAGAACTTTTATCTGCTACGTGAAGTCCGCTCTTAACAAGGAACGACTGAGTGGGTGAAAGTTATAAAATACAGCACTGCACAAGTTATGTCGAGAGTTTTGTACAATTCTTGTACTTAATAAAAATATACCTCTTACTCCACTGAATTTATAGAAAATCTTAAATTTGTTTGCTAGTAACTTCTCAGATTCAGATTTTATATATGCAAAGTAGGATGAATACACTATTTGTCAAAATATCTTTATTATATGCCCTGGGAATTCACAAGGTATCCAGCTACAGTTATGTAAATAGGATTAGCTCCAACTGTAGCAATGACAACAAAATGAGGAACACATTAATGCAATAAAAAATATATATAAATAGTATTCTGTAAAAGGTACATTTTTGTAAAGTAATTATTTTTCATTTGTTACTCCAGACTAAAGTCTGATATGTTTGTACGGTGCTTGTTTGAGGGTATTTCTGTGTTGTTACTACTTTAGGTGGCTTAAGGTCAAGAACAGAGTAGGCTTCTCATTTTTCATGATCTAATCTCAAAATGCTCCAAAAAGCCTCATTTGAATGCTAGAATAGCTAGATCTTTCTAGATTTGTTAAAAAGAAGCAAGCTCATATCTGTCAGCATAGATCTTGAGCTTAAAAAAAGTCTGTTTTATTCCTTGGATAGAAAACACCTATTCAAATTGTTTTTTTTAACTTGTTTTATAAGTTGAGAATTTTCAGTCAAAATTTGTTTTTCTGCTGGATGGAGGAACAGTGATGAAACGTTACACAGCAGGTGTGCAAAATCACAAACAAAGACACTCTATGAACAGGAGACTCCAAACTAAGAAAGAGAAATCAGTCCAACAGAAACTGCTGTCATGAAGCTCCTCGCGCTCCATCTTTCTCAAGTCTGTCACAAGTTTGAATTCACCTTGATGCTTATTTTATACATTTTAATTTTGTTAAAAATCTTCATTAAAGTCGTTCACTGCTGGTGTAAACACTCCTCAACAACACTCAGAGTCAGTCACAGTCAGAGATGGAAAAAAGGCGACTCAGAAGACGTCTGATAGTATAGAAGTCTTTGATAAAATGTTCCTTCCTGTCATTTGATTTATTCCCTCAGTAAGTAATTTCCTAATTCCCTTTTCTAACAATTTCTGTTGATAAAAAACAATAAATTACTGAATATTGGGAGTCTATAAATAATTTTTCTGTTGCCATGGTGACCAAATAGATCTCAATAAAAAATGTCATGTAAAGTTTAAGACTGGTTTAATGGCAACCTTAAGAGTGAAGACGACATGAAGCAGGTTGAACATAAACGTGGACTCCTCCAATATAAATCTTCTGCTACATCTTAATAAGTAACATTAAAGGTGGAGTCGGTAGCAATGTTCGCTCGCAGCTAAGTTTGCAGTTTCAGCGTATGAATTATAAATATATCATTAAAGTGTGTTACTATATATACAGGGAAACCAAAGGCAATGCTCCTCAGTAGAAGATGAATGAAAGAATCAGCGTGAGATAATAAAAAGGTTTAACGGTGTAATCAGCAGCATCAGAAGCTCAGCTGTGACACAAACACTTGGCTGATTAATCATTTCTGAGAGGGACGGACCCGCACGTTAACCATGAACGAGGCCGGAGAAAACACAGCAGATGTCAACATCAAACTTTTAATACAGACACTGCTCCATAAAATGTCAAAACACACGAGCTGAAAGATGAGGTGTGACATCACAGACTGACCTGAGCTCAAAAACAAAAACAACAACATCATCGTCACATGAAGCGGGAGCGTGCAGAGTGTTGATCTGTGCAGGAAGAATACATTCAGACACCAGCAGCGCAGGCGTCTTAAAGAGGGAGTGTCACAGTTTCTAATAATCACACTTTACACTTCACAGCCAGACACTCGTTTACATTTTCCAGGACTGATTAAGTGATGGTTCATTTTTAAAAACATGAGAAAAAAACACAAAGTCAGCATCCTGTGAGGCATAACGAGTCTTTAACCTGAGGCCTCTAATCCTCTGAGGGGAGAACGTTCAAGTCCTCAGATCTGTGTGAAGCAAAGCAGAGACTGTAACCTTCATCACATAGATGACACTAACAGATTACAACATTTAAAACATTAATACAGCTGATATCTGATGTAGCGTAACTAAATATATCGTTAAGTGATGACCTTTGAAGAGAGTGAAGTCAAACTCCCTCTGGGGTGGTTGTTCGCAGCTCTATGTTCACACTGACGGGACGTCTCTTCCTTCAGTTTGTTTATGTTTCACTCAGAGGCTCAAACATGTTTATTTTCCACATGAACCCCTCCCTTTTTGTTAGGCTGATTTATACTTCTGCATCAAATCTGCACTGTCAAAGCCTACATTGTTGAGAGAACTACATATTTGTGCCTTGGTGTTTCTGCGTAGCTCTGCAATACTCCGCCCACAAAGGCTAGTTGACAGAGTGAGTTATATGTTGGTGATATCGCCTGTTTCTGGTTCTGCCCATGTTTGTGTTCAGGTAAACATGGCGACTGAAACATGGCGACTGAAACAGAGCGGATTATGTTGGAGTTGGAGCTGATACATTTTGAGCAGCAGCTGATTTAACTGCAATTATTGTAAAGCAGAAAAGAGAGGAGACATCGGAGGGGATGTATCAGCCGCTGAATCAGTCAAGGACGTCAGGGGAATTAGTTTTTCTTGTCCGGCCACTGAGACATAAATGAGGAAATGCACTTCTGATATTTTCGGATGGCTGCAAGTTGATTTGACGTCCTAACCCCTAACCCAAAGTATACACAATAAACCTGTAGCCAATACAATGCTACCCAGCAGTCCAATCACAGTCTGGTCGGCGTAATTTCAACACTTGGTTAGATTTTTGAGGAGGTGCACTTCAGGCTAAGGCTTCCGCGTAAAGCTACAGGGCCAACCTATGGGGTATACTACGGCATAGACTCGATGAAAAAATATAAATTAGGCTTTAGCCAACGCGGGGGGAAAGGGAGACAGCCCCGCCCACTCAGGGAAGCTGCTTGCAGCGGCACAATGGCCGAGTTTTATGGCAGAACCAACAGACTTCGTTTGGTCTAAGAAGCTAGGCCGCATATCAGAATGGTGATCAGTCCTACAAACAGCTGCACTGAGTGTAAACACTGCGGGAGAGGAGGGGGAGGAGGGGACAAATCAACGTTTAAAAACTCGAAATCGGTCTTAGTTTCAAGACCGGTTTCCAGACCACTTTTTTAAGGTCTTGTCTCTGAATCGAACGCATTTTTACTCTGCCCTCGTCTCAGTCTCGATCCCTAACAGTCTTGGTCTTGTCTCGGCCTCGGAGCACTCTTGGTCTCTGGTATTTCTTGGTCTCGGTTAGTGTGGTCTACAACACTAGGAGGGGAGGCAGTGCACTCTGTTTTGGTTTGAGAGACTGGGGCTAAAGTGTGACATCTACTGGACATCTACTCTGGAAGTTGCATTTTTACACCCTAAATATGTTTTCATCATGTTTGAGCATTAAGCGGAGCTCTTGCAATGACATAATCAAGTTGTGTCTAAATTTCATGGCACTGATCAGAGCATTAGCTCCATCTGCAGTTCATCATAACTCCCAACAAGCTCAAAACACTAGTGAAGGAAAATGTGCGTTAAAATTGGTTTTCTTGGGGCGCTGGTGGCGCACTGCTTAGTGTGTGAGACCCATGTATGGAGGCCATGGTCCTCCAAGTGGGCAGCCCAGGCTCAAATCCAGCCTGTCGCTCCTTTCCCACGTCATTCCTTACTCTCTCTCTCCCTGATTTCCAACACTACCCACTGTCCTATCTCTCCATTAAAGGCACAAAAAAGCCCAAAAATAAATCTTAAAAAAAAAATGGTTTTCTTCTTCAGTTCTTAAAAAAAAAGGTTTTTAATTTTGATTGCTGGTATCCGAACTGAGTTATTATACACAAACAGAGTTTAAAATATTTCAAACCACCTGCAACACGACCTTCAGTTAAAGTGCTGGATTTATGTTCCAACGCGTTCTGTTTGAAGTCCCTTTCAAAGTAAAGGGCGTTTAAAACTCTTAGAAGATGACCCTTGAAGACTTGGATTCATTTTCCACGTGCACCTCCCTGTTAACCTTCTCGGCCGCTTCCTGGTCCTCCTCGCCCAAACCCTCTTTTTTCATGATCTTTAGAGGCCACCAGAGGGAGCCGTTCCGCCGGCGGTCTCTGCGGACTTTCTGTTCTTTAGGCCAGCAGCAGGGGGCGCCCTTATCCCCTGTCAGGAAGTAGAGGAGGGCATTGAGCCAGGCGTTGCAGGAGGCCAGCGGCCGGGTGACCTTGTAGCAGATAGAGACAGTCTTCATGGCGTTGCACCCACCCAGCTGTCCCCGCCGCAGCAGCAGGAAGAGCGTCCGGGTCACATGAAACGGCAGGAAGCAGAGGGCAAACAGCAGCGTGATGGTTAAGATGGTTTTGATGGATTTCCGTCGTCGTCTGATGTAGTGCGAGTACTGTGATCCAGAGATGGAGACCGAGGTTCTTTCTCGGTCTCTGACTCCCTCTGTGGCCCAATCCCCCACTGGACCGTCCTCCCCACCCTCTATGGAACTGGGAGGGGAACGCAGCGTCTGAAATATCGTCCTGACCACCTGAGAGTAGCACCAAGCGATGATCACAAAGGGCACAAAGAAGCCCAGCAGGTGGAGGACGATGCCGTATGGGACGTAGTCGGCAAACTCCTTATCAATGGCGTCGTCCCAGCAGTTCATGTATCCCTCCTGATCCTCAAACTGAGGTCCACTACCGTTACTGCCTCCACTCACACCTTCAGGGCCAACAGCCCCACCTCCTCGATGGACGTAGCCTGTCTGAGCGAACCTGAAGATGGGGCAAGTGAGGATGAAGACCACCACCCACACCAACGCACAGGTCCCCTTCACCACCCGCTTGCTCTCCAGAGTGATGGTCCTCATGGGATGGCAAATTCCCAGGTACCTGTGGACAGACAACCAGGGGTGAGTTAGAACAACGCTTTAATCTCGTGTTGGGTTCAGATAGAATAAGGGATAAGGGCAGTGCTGATTCTCGCTACATCCTTCTAGCAGCAAAACAAACAGATACATCAAGAGTATGGCCTGGGGAGATCTGAATTTGAAAGTTATCACTATTTTGTAAGATCAGCTTTGATTTTTGACTTGAGAACATAAGTCCAGCCTTAAGACCAAGTGGATGTTTGTGCATTATTTAAAGACACAAACATTGGTGGAACAGACATATTTACCAATCGACTGTTTGACAGATGACCTGACAAAGTAAAGCCTCTGGCTAGGAGGACTGTAGTGTGCTCTCATTTTGTTTAATCGACTGGGAAATCAGTCATGAGGATCATGGTACAGAGTACAAGCCTACACCCACAGGTCAGTAAAGGATGCTCGTTTGAGGAAGTCGAGTGAACCTTTAAGTCTTCTTTCTTTTAACATCAGCTTTTGTCTTTTCATGAACATCATGCATCGGTCCCAAGTTTGAAATATGATTTTCATATAAACACCAAAAATCTGTTTCAAACTCGGTGTTAACTGTAGTTCCTCGAGTGTCCATTTGAGGCTGGCTGCAAAAGCCCAGGAAACCCCATTTGGGATGGGTCCCATTTAAAGTTGCCTGTTTCACAGCAGATATAAACATGTTTACAGCAACTCTGCTAACTTGTCTCCAAAGTCAAACTCATGATATGACCTTAGGTTCCAAACATTTGACCAGTTGCTGATGGTCAGGAGAATCAGCTAGGTTGTTAATGAACATGTGGTGTAGTGCTACTTTTATGTCAGGTCAAAATTCAAAGGGAGGTCAGGTAAAAAATTTACGTTTGCAGGAAAGTGCGTTTGCAGCAGTTTTTCTCAGAGAACAGGGACAATGAGGTGTGACTCCAGAAGTTTTAGTATTAATCTTCTGACGGAAGAGAATAGAGTGCTGGTGTGTTTAGTAATTCTCTATACAGCTAAATCTTCTTTTCTATTGTACCTATCATTCTGTAGACTGGCTTTGTTAAGTTCTGGAAGGTTAAGGGGATCCTCTGGTGGGAACGTGGTGCTTACTAAAAGTTTGATGCACCAAACAACGTTAGCCTTATGAAATGGACCAATAACGGCAAAAGTAAGCAACATCGTATTAGCAAAGGTCCTAAGACTGAAACCAATGTTTACTTCAGAAGAATCAGCTAAAAGTACCATTAAGGACAAAGTTTCCCAATGGGCAGCTGTGCGTCCAGACCGTCCTACCTGTGCACTGAGATGCAGGTGAGGAAGAAGATGGAGCAGTAGAGGTTGAAGTAGAACAGAAAGCGAACAAGGCGGCACATGAAGTCCCCAAACACCCAGCGGTCCCTTAGCATGTAGCTCGCCACCAGGAAGGGCAGTGACAGGCCGTACATGAGGTCAGTGGTGGCCAGATTAACCATGTAGATGAGCGAGGTGTTCCAGCGTCGCCCACCGCCACTGCTACCCATGACGCCGCAGCAGCCGCTGCCATGGTGACGGCAGGAGCGCAGCAGCACCACCGAGTTGAGGGTGAGACTGAATAGGAAGGTCAGCGAGTAGCAGACCGGCAGGAAGACGTACTTGTAGGATTCGTCAATGCTGCAGGACGAAGGAGGTTGAGAAGAGGTGGGGATGATGCCGGAGGTGTTTGGAGGGTTGCTCACCCCCGTCGCCACAGCCAGACCGATGTTTGGGGTGACACTGGAGGCTTGGCTCAATCCCATGATGGAGGTTATTCCTGGCAGGGCTGGATAGGTTCAGGTTCCTCTGGCGTCATCTCAGCTTCTCCAGCGGATTCAAGTCTTCTTACTCTTTCAATCTCTCTCTGCCACCGTCTGACCCATATCGCTGGTGTGTCGAAGGACTGCAACAAAGAGGGGAGAGGAAACACTTTGTCATTAGTTCAGAAAAGCTTGTTCACCATGTACTGCCGGTGTTTTGCTGATGAGGACTTTGTTTCGCACAATTAGCCCTTCAATCATTAACACAAGCCTTCCGGAAACACCTCTCCATTCATGCAACCTTCCTTGCTGGACGTCAGGTAGAAGGCACGTTCCAGCTGTCCTACTTTAAGGTTCAATGTAACATAGAGTACAGTCTCGACCGGCTCTCTCTGTAAAGTGTCTCGAGGTAACTTTTGAAATGAATTGCCACTTAACAAATAAAGATTTATGGTTGATTAAACCCAAGCTGCTGTTTTGGAACGACAGTGTCAAGAAATGTTGCAGCAGTTGGTGCAGGTTGTGTTGAGATGTTCTCTTGGCTTTAACAAACTGTGACACTTCATTATTCACAGTATAGACATGTTGTTGTTGTTGTTGTTGTACTTGATGAAGCAGATTAAGGTTTCGATACATTGTTTAAAACAACGCAATCTCTATTATTTCATTGAGTGATAGAGAGAGAGCATATTTGAACATATATTTGGCTTTAAATGTAAATGAGCTGTGTCTGACCACGCCCCCTCTCTGGAAGGCCTTGGATGTCTCTGGCTTTCTCGCTCCATGCCCTATTGTTTACAGTGAGAAGGCAGACTCAGAGGGCAGAACAAACACCTAGCTGTGGGAGTGTCACCCACCTGGGGGAGGGGCTACTGCCCTTTGTGATGTCATGAAGGGAAAATCTCCAAACGGCCTGTTTGAGCACACATTTTCTGAAAAGTGGAGCAGGCAAAAGAGAGGATGGACTTTTCTCATCATAGGGGGGTTTGTATACAGACTAGAGACACAGAATAGTGTTAGAGAAACATGGTGAAGTGGATTATACAAAATATGTGACCTTTAACCTATTGTGATCAAGTTCTCTTTCATAAGGCTGACCTGGCCAAGAGGGCAGCAGCAGCACACGTCATCATAAACATTACATGATAAACTAAAGGCTGTGAATCAAAGCGTCAGTTAGTGGACGTCCCACTTTACCTCCTGAGCAACAAGCTCCCTTTAACTGAAGTATTATTTATTATAATGTTCTGGCAAGGTTTAGTCTTTGTTTTTTAAATAGGACATCCGATCTGCAGGATTCTTTTCACATTTAATATCAGTAAACTGAAACCATCAGTGTCATCTACAGATGACCTCACACGCCTTCATCTCGTTCTGTATGGACTACTGTAACGCTCTTTTCACCTCACTCAGCATGTCTGCCCTAAACCTTCTCCAGTCAATCCAGAATGCTGCTCGAGTCCTCATCAGGTCCAACAAGCGGTCTTACATCACTCCCACACTGAAATCTCTGCTCTGGGTCCCTGTGGCTTATAAGAATAAGTTTAAAATCCTCACCCTCACTTTTAGAGCTATCCACAGTCAGGCCCCAGAATATTTGTGAGAACTCGTTCACCCACCCGTTCACTAAGGTCGAACACCCGACACCTGCTGTCTGTCCCACAGAAACATTTTAAGACTCTTGTTGATCGTGCGTTTGAGGCGATAGCGTCAATCCTCTGGATCTCTCTGCCCGTCCGGTTACATCTTTCTGACTTTGTTGAGTCTTTTAAAAAGCAGCTACAAACGTTGATGTTAGGAAAGGCCTGTGAGTGATCAGGTCCACCCAGTCCACCAACTGATCTGTGTTTTACTGTGCCAATTTTCGTTCCGAGTCAGAGCAGGATTTTAAAATGCCGGTCCATGAAGTTTGTTCCTGTTTTATTACATGTATGTAGTTTTTTGTTGATGTGACCTTTGTCTGCGAGAAGTGATTCATACATAAACTCTCCTTAAAAACAGTCTAATTAAACCTGAATAAAAACGTGCTGCTTCAATCAAGAGAAACCGTTCTGACAGCCAATCAGATGGCAGAGCTTCACCTTTAGAGTCTGCTCTGAAGAGGCTGTTTGTCCAATGTTAAAGGAGTTAAAGGAGATCGGTTTTTACCTGCAGTCGTCCTCTCGCTCTCGCCTCGTCAAGTTTCTCCGTGGATCCAGAAGAGTCTGTTTCGGGGCTGAAGGGTCTCTCGGGGTTTCTCCCTTGACCTTCAGTTTGTCTGTAAATAATTGATCAGCGTTCATTCAGTCAGAACTGCAGGAATGAAACCCAATACAGGGACTGCAGAGGAGGAGGAGGAGGAGGAGGAGGAGGAGGAGGTGCTCCCAGTTCAGCTCTGAACTGGTTTACATACAGCAGACTGGCTCATACTGGAACTGAGATTAAAACATTTAAAAAACACAGAAGCTTTAATGTAATATATTTAAGCATACGTTTCAATCCTGCACAAAATGTTGACTTTCTGTTTATTAAAGGACAAAGCGTTTGTTTTTCTGACTTTTATGTTTTTAAATAATTGGCAACGATGCAAATGACCTTCGAGTTAATTCTTCTGTAAGTGAGCTGACCTGTCGGGGTCACAGTCTCTCAGAACAATCACTTCACTGTTACACGTTGAAAACACAGAAGTAGTTTTTTATGGAGCTCGAATTCAAAAAGAAACTAAATAAATAATTTTTGAGTTGCTGCTGTTCTGTAAATAACATTAAATTCATGAACTGCTTCCCCAGAACTCCAAATATAAGAACATCAGAAGGCTAGATTATCAGATCTCATCACTACCAACTGCATGATGTGGATCTGTGAACAAAGCTGCTCTCTAAAGATCAAAATCACTCACCTTTCCCTCCAGAGAAGCGGCTGAAGATTTACTCATGTCGTTTCCTCCTCCTCCTCCTCACTCTGCCTCTTTTTCTGAGGAAAGCAAAGTAAATCAGCCCCTCCTCTTCCTGCTCCTCGGCTCGTCTCCTTCCATCATCATCACCATCATCTCAGACTCATACTGGGCTTTTGGTGTGTTGGTGAAGATGTGTGAAGGTGTGAGTGTTGGCAGCACATTTGGCGTTTGAGGAACAGATACGAGTAAACACAAAGAAGCGAAACATAAAATCCCTCCAACATTTATTAAAGAATTAAACACTTAAAATAAGATTTAGAAAATGTTCTCTCCATGTGTATCCTACGACGAAGCAGCAACCTCCAGTGTTGACAAATGAAGCCGATGCTGAAGTGTAAAATCCTGCAGTTCCTCCAGTGTCCACTAGAGGCTGGCTGCAGAAGCACAGGAAGTCACATACACACCCATTCAAAAAAGCCTGTTTTTACAGCAGAGATGAACATGTTTACAGCCTGATTCAAAAAACCAAATAGGTCTGATTAGCTCATGTCTCGATACATGTCTCGGCACACACCGAGGGGGGGGGGTTAATGTTTTGATGACTCATCAGTTTTGATGACGTGTAGCTGACCTGATTGACAGGCAGGTGCGGTGTAATGGTTTGTCAGGAGGCTTAAAACCCGCCTCAGCTCCAGCTGAGGAGACCATTTCTGTGTGTGTGTTCCATTTCCAGCATGGAGACCGCCACGATGGGACTCCAGCGCCACCTGCAGGGTGACGTTGATTAAGACACGAGCTAATCAGATCTATTTGGTTTTTTGAACCAGGCTGTAAACATGTTAATCTCTGCTGTAAAAACAGGCTTTTTTGAATGGGTGTGTATGTGACTTCCTGTGCTTCTGCAGCCAGCCTCTAGTGGACATTGGAAGAACTGCAGGATTTTACACTTTTAGCATCGGCTTCACTTTTAACATCTGAGGACGCCACTTTCTTCAAACACAAACAAAGAAGTTCACAAAAAAATCTGTGTAGCTTGACATCAAAGTATATTTCAGAGTTAATGTTTACATTCACAAAATATATTTTAAATGTATTTATTTACATCTGAAAACACATCTCTAACATATGCCCACGGTCTCAATGAAATAATAAATCGTTTACATTGTTAGCTTCTTTGTTAGCTAATTTCCACGACCACATTAACGCCAAGTATAACTCTTTTAAAGTCTTCTCGTATTTATGTCCCGTTTCATACGACACAGTTTAGATGTCGTTTATAGCTTTACGTTAAAAATAAGAAACATTTTCTTTACAGTAACATCCGTACGACATTCAGTCAGTATCATTCCTGCAGCTGGCCACATTGGTAGGAGTGGTTTAAAAACGCCTCGTTATAAATCATCTGAATCCCTGATTAACACCAAAATAATTCACTGAGGTCAGAATCAGGCCGAGTCCACAAGAAGGCAGGAATTTTTAAAAAAAGGTTTCCTACCCTATTTTAAAATAACCTCGTCCACACACGCTCAGTTCTCAAAAACATCTTCGTCCACATGAAAATGCAACAACGCACGCCAAGTCAACAGACGGTGATTCCTCCGCAACGACCATTTCATCGTCAAAGTTCTCCCACCTTCCCAAAGTCCAACGGAGTCTCATCCAAAACCGCCGACTGTAGCGATGGGGTTTGTGTGGTGGGACCCCCAATGTCCTCACACAGAAACACCTTAAACGTAGTTTCTGAACATCTCCACCCTGGGAAGGAGTTTTACTAAAGGAGAGTTTACAGGGACCTGAAACGCCGTTTGCGAATGAAAGATCAAAATGCACAGAAAAAGCCATATGTTCAAAAAGACCCGCCTACGTGTGGACAAGGACTAATACTTTATATATATAAAACATTTGAGAAGGATAGAAAACAGAGAATGTTGGTGGGATGTTTAAACTAAGTGCATTTATCTCTTCATTATAACGTCATCACGGACGGTACCTGACGGGTTTAGCATTGTTTGTTAAACGAGGTTTCACGCCATCATTAAAATCACTACAAACACAAATCCTGAAAATATTATATCGTTGGTAATCTTTTGAAACTTATGGACGGCCACGTTGCTGTCGCTAAAATCCAATATCAACTTCTTTTAATTTTGGCCTTTTGCGCCTTTACTGTAGAGACAGGACGGCGGAAAGAGTCAGAAATCAGATGGAGAGAGAGAGGGAGGGGAATGACATGCGGTCAGGTTTGATCCCGGGCCACCCGCTTGGAGTTCCAAAGCCTCTGTACATGGGACGCACGATCTAACCACTACGCTACCGGCACTCCTCCTTCTTTTATTTGGAGGTGCAGATGATCATCTGAGACATCCAAGACGATTTTTCAGAATAAAACATGAAATATAAAACGGCATGGGTTACGTCTCGCTACATGTGCTGCGTGAGTGTTATGTTCCCATATTAATATAATAAAAATATAAAAGTATTAAACACAATCAAACTTAAATAAGATAAGTTAACATCCCTTATTTGCATATTAAAGTAGAGTTTTCACAAACAGGAAATAAAAAATCCTTTTGTTTGAATGATTGTGGGAAACGTCATTATGTCGAAGGAAGTTTTGTTTTTAATTAAAATCTTAAAGATTTAAATGTAATACTATATCAGCCAATGAAATGAATTCAAGGATCTTTAAAGGAGCAGTATGTAACTCTGACCTCTAGTGTTTAAAATGGGTACTGCAGTCCAAATTTAATTCAGATTTTCAAGATTCTTTCTAATATTTGTACAACTGATTTTGTGCTCTCGGTTAAAGGTTACAAAACTTTAAAACAGTTCAGTTTAATTACAAACGTTCTGGGGAAACTTCCAAAAACCTTCTGACGAACGCTTCTGAAAACAAAAAAACTCACAGGGAAATATCCAGGAAATTCACCAGAGAACTCAAATGAAAATTCCAGACAAAAGCTTCTGAAAGATCTAGGAAAAGAGTTCCTAAAATTTCTGAACAAAAAGTTCCCTTAATTTCTAAGAAAATTTCCCCTAAAATTCCTGAAACTTCAGCAAAAACTAAATTTCTGCAAAATTTCCTGAAAATTCTTAGGAAAATCCTTGAAAAGTTGAACGAAACGAAAGTTTCCGCACATTTGCAAGAAGATTCCTGAAAAGTAAACAACGTTCTCCTCAGATCCTGAGTGGCGTTAAAGGTCGACCAAATAACGAGAACTTAACGTTTAAAATGGCTGAAAATAAAAAGACAAAAAAGCTCAAATAGCTGAGATTTTGTCTCTTTTTGACACAGGCCTCACAGATATGGATAATTCAACACCTTTACAGAGAGAGAGGCGTGATGGGAATGTTTGAATACAGATATTACTTCCCAACAAAAACCAACATGTGATTGTTTGTTTACGACCTTTGTTGTTCCATATGAACGCGCCGTCACGTGCAGAGGCTTTTCTTTCCCTTGGATATGAGCTAACGTTTGATCTCGACGATGCTGAGCGACTTTTAAGGACTTCCTTTCATGCAGAGCTTCCATTCAGATCTCCGTTTGTTTCCCTGAACGCTGCTCACTCGCTGGTCAGTTTTCTTTAATTAGTCGTCCTGGAAACAGACTTCTGGTCGGACGTGGGCGAGCAGCTTCTCCTGGTCACAAAGCATCCAAACGTTCACATTGAAGTGGAGTCATCTCGTTCACATGGACGGGGTATTCTGTGGTCCCGGTGTTAGGTCAGGTCCTGCACGTCCAGCAGCATGGCGTCCTGCTTCGTTCTCAGCTGGTCTCGTACCAACAGGTGAGCCACCAGCTCGGAGCTCAGAGCTGCAGGAAAAACACAAAATGGAGAAAATTATTTTAACAGCGTGCAACTACATGAAGATGTTCGTATTCCTTCTTTTTTTTCAATTACGTGAAATCTCAAAACCCCTCATTGCTGGATAAACCGTTATAGCAAATTTCCACATAGTCCGTGCGCCCGCGTCTGTCAGCGCCCGGGTTTGCTCAGTCGGACGGTACGTGCCCTGCCCCACTTGGTCTGTTTCTGAAACGTGAGTGCAGCCATGAGCAGCTATACACACATACCAGGAGAACTACAAGATCTCAGGAGAACTACAAGATCACGGGAGGACTACAAGATCACGAGAGAACTTCAAGATCACGGGAGAACTACAAGATCACAGGAGAACTACAAGATCACAGGAGAACTGCAAGATCAAAGAAGAACTACAGGATCACGTGTGAATAAAGAGAAAAACGTGCAAACGTTGTTTTGTCTTTCTGAGGATGGTTTCTTATTCATTCGGTGCCTGTTTTGACGTCATGTTGTTAAAGAGATGGAATATACGATCAGAAGTCGGTATGTTGTGTTTTATTTTGAAATTGATCGGACACTCTGTGCGTTTCCTTGTCTGACTTCCTGTCCAGGTTGATATATTCTGTGCTTGCAGCGAGCTCTGTCAAAACTTTCAACCTTGCACAAAATCTTCCTTTAAAACTCCTGATATGTTCAGAGTGAGCTGATGTGAGAACGCAGCAGGATATAATCAGGAGAATTCACCTGGAGCGAGTGGGAGGGGGTGGTGACGTTTATTCCCTGTGATCGCTGCACGACCATAGACTGTCTGCACACCACCTCTACCATCTCTGTGCTCTAATGAACCTGCTGCATTATGTTTCCTGTTCTCCAGTATGTTCTTCTCCACTCTTTAGGTCGATCTGACGTTTAACTTTATGAAGACACAAGCTTCTCAGAGCCACGGTGAAGACTGTCTGTCTGTGTGTTTGTGTGTTTGTGTGTGTGTGTGTGTGTGTGTGTGTGTGTGTGTGTGTGTGTGTGTGTGTGTGTGTGTGTGTGTGTGTGTGTGTGTGAGTTCATACCGTGTACTTCCTGTTGAAGTGTCCCTCTCAGGCTGCGGAGCTGTTTCTCTGAACACTCCTGAAGCTCCCAACACTCCAGATGTTTCCGCTTGGCAACATTGCTGCAGCCAGCCAGATGCTGCAACACACACACACACACACACGTTATCCTCCTCTGTTGATAACACGTCTCTCTCTCTCTCGCTGTCATTCTTTCCCACATGTTTCACCTCCTTCTCCTTCTGTTCAGCCAGCAGTTTGTCTCTCAGCGTCCTCAGGGCAATGATCACTTCCTGTTTCAACCCGGCGGCGGCATGGCAACTAATTCCCCCCGGTCCCATGGAAACCTGACAGAGATGTGTAAGGTTGTCAGTGGTCAGACTTTGAGTAAATCTGTCAAATAAACAGTGTGGAAATAAGCTCTACTGAGAGTGGCAGCTTGGCTCTCAGCCCCCTAGGCCCCGCCCCCTGGACTCTAAAGTCTAGAGTCTTTGTTTTTTTGTTTTTGGATGTTGGTTTTCACAAAAGAAAAATAAATAACTTTGAGCTCTGGAAACTATGGTGTGCATTTCTGACAAAGTTTTAATATTCTATGGACCAAGCGATGGACAGTAGAAATTATTGGAATCAGGCAGAGGCCGGCAGATGTTGGTATACGAGCGTATATTTGTACAAACGGAGAACTAATGACCTTTTTCTTGGTTCCCTCCTCGTCGTCTTCACTGTCGCTGTTGTTGATGAAGCACAGCTGCAGGTTTCTGTGGTTGTGAAATCTGTAAACGGACGACAAACAGGAAAACGTCAGACTGCAGGTCTACACGTGTTCACAGCCAATGGAGTCATGTTGTTGTGTTTGTCTCCAAACATCTCTGCCAGTTTACTCTCAAGATTTTTGTAGAACTATATGACGTGTGTGTTCATTAATACTTTTAAACTCACCGTGAGGCGACAGAAGCGACTCTGCACCTCCGGAAGTCTTCCTCCTCTTCCTCCCACACGTCCCTCCACACTCCCCCGTGGCTCTCCCCCATCCTTACCTCACCTCTCTGGGGGGAGACATGCAGACACAGTCCCCCTCACACAGGGGTCCAAACACATAAACATACTACAAATGACCACACTAGAATAAAAAACTGGAAATCAGAGGAATCCCTTCAGCAGCAGCAGATTTATCGCAGAGAGATCAGGTCTGTGGTCAGAGAACGATGTTGGGAAGTTTTTTATATAAAGCTACGTGATCATTATGCCGCCAGAGAATGTACAAACATGCAGCTGTGAGCGTCCACACAGCGTCTCTGTAATGTCAGGGTCTCATTTTAGCTCCGTCCTCAGCGTGAATCACAAAATGTGTTTACAGCCACAACCAGCATGTTCTCGTCCTCCGAGGAATATAATCAGACAGAGACGGAGATAAGAAGGAAGAAGAGGAGGAGGAGGAAGAGGAAGAGGAAGAGGAGGAGTGGAGGAGGAGGAGGAGGAGGAAGAGAGGAGGAGGAGGAGGACGAGGAGGAAGAGGAGGAGGAGGCGTTACAGAGGAGTGACAAGATCAGCTGAGCCAGCAGGGGAGCGCAGCGCTGTGTGTGTGTGTGCATGTCTAACTGTGTGTATGTGGAGCTCCTGCTGTGCCGTTCTTCCACAACGCTGAAATGCAGACGGGGACACCGATATTACGCCATCAGAATCTATATGAATGTCTTAAGTTGTAATGGCGACGGGGCTTCATTACGCTGCTGTTGTAGAATTGCACAACGAAAAGGGCTTCAGGCTTCTTCAGGATCAGATAACTTTTTGAAACCAGCGGAGTCGCCCTCATTTGGACAACAGAAAGAATGCAGAATCAACCAACTTCTATAATGGCTTCAGTTTTCTGACCCCGGGCTGCGTCCAGTCTTTCGATAACACTCCAAAGGGGGGAGTAGGGCACAAAGACTTATGGGAAATGAAGTCTTAAGAAAAATATATCCACTGACAGCATCTCCAGAACCAAACAGAGACTCAACACCACAACAAAAACATATCTTCATGTCTGACCTTTGACTTTTCCCTCCTCTCCTGCTCCTGTTTCTCCAACTCCGCTATCCTCTGACTCAGGTCGTCCCAGTGCATGATGGGAAGGTAGTCCACAGAGGAGGCGGCTGCGATGTGATGATGAAGCTCGTTGTCCTCCTCCTCTTCCTCCTCCTCCTTCTCCTCTGCTGTCTCTTTCTCTCTCTCCATCTTCTGCGGGAATAAGCAAGAATGTGAGACGACAATAAAAACATAAAACATAACCTAAATCAATAAATCAAGTTTCCAAAAGTGCATCAAGAATGATAAAAGTTTGAACATCTCCCGACTCATTTGGGGGGGAAAGATCAATGATGAATTAATAGCCAATCATGAGTCAGTTACTAAAACACATCAATATTCATGAGGACTTGAATTTAAAATCAATACCAAACATAATGATTACACTGTATCCAATACAATCCTAATGTTTTTATAAATCACATTTACAAACAACAAAAGGTGACCAAAGTGCATCAAAAGATAAAACGTTTATTAGACTACTGAGAAGTGATCGAAGGAATAAAAGCCGACTCTCAAGCAGAGCCAAAAGCAGAGGCGTAAAGGTGCGTTTTAAGGTTCGAGTGTTCAATTCAACCTCTTAATAAATGCTACTTTCAAACTCCAGGATAAATATAAGGCTGCCACGATACCGGAATTTTTAACTTCTAGATACTAGTAACAAGGGCTCGACTGATACGGGATTTTTGGGGCCGATAACAATATTGGGGAGAGAAAAGATATATATATATAAACGATATACGATATATTGGCCGATGTCTTTCTTAAGCCTTTTTCACATATGCACTCCAGATAATATCTAGATATTTACAGGAGGACTTCTCCAGAGATTTTCCCGCCCTAGCCGTTCACATATGCTCCTCACAGCTGGAGACTATCCCTGTCAGAGGGGAGGGGGCTCGGGGGATTTCCCGAGGTAAGACGTGACGTAAATAAACAACGCGGAAGTAGCGGCCGATGCTATAATGAGGCTATATAAATGCGGCTGTTTGCATTCACACATAGCCTAAAGCACCTCAGGGTAGCCAGATCTCTGGAGTTTTTCAGGATATTTCTGTATGTGTGAAAAGGGTTTTAGATTTATCTTTGAAGAGATAAGAGATAAATAAACACATTTATTCCCTCAGTTATCAAATACTTGTGGAAAAGATTTATAATGAAGACAAGATGGTCACTCAGCTGGAAAGTAACTGAGCATGAACGTGCGTCACCACTCGACACTCTGGAGAGTGATGATGCTTGTTGTAATACATATAGCGCCCTCTGCTGGTGACAGAGAACTGTTAGTGAAATACAATGAAACTCAAATGAAATACTGTTTGACTAGTGAATAAATCGAGTAACATCGGCGCATATCGGAGAAAAAATTAGTTGATACTGATGGTCACCAGATAAACTGATATCGGCCGATATTATCGGCTTGCAGATTAATCAGTCGTACTCTGGAGTAACCTCTGTTGGGCTATGTCAACAAAACTATGATGCTGCATTCATGCGCTCCCCGGACAGTCCCCATCTCGACTTCAGTGGGTTCACCTGATTTCAGTTCGGAAAGTCTGAATGTTGTAACATCAGCAACAAATATCATGGATGCTACGAAAAACACATGTTGATGTCTCTGTTACGAGTTATATTTCAGCAAAAAGTTGATGTGAATTAATGAAAAGTATCTTAACATTAACTAAACATATTTTGACCCTCATGTGATAACGATTATGATGTCAAGTCGGGCTCCTCATTTCTTTCCGAGTTGTTCCGACTTGAGCAAGCTGAAGTGTCCCCGCAGGAGTCAACCTGCTCTGTCCGCAGTTGTTTACCAGCAGCAGGGAGACCTCGGAGGGTTTTACCCGCCTCACAGTCGCATCCACTCGGCCCCGGATCCCTCCGACATGTCGCAGTCCGTCACCCCGCGGGTCCCGTCAGCCCGCCGGATCCACTTTGAGGGCTGACCGCGACGAAGAAAAGCTTCCCCCGTTTTATTCAGACATGGAAGACAAGGTAGTGAAAGTGTTGTAGAGAAGTTTGACTCCGTGTGGAGGGAGGACGGACCTTCCCTTTCCTTCTTCCTCCCCCTTTCCTCCCCCCTTCCGCTCTTCCTACTTTAACTCAAGTGTCTGCAGGGGGACGAAGACACCGGAACCCGCTACCGGTGGTCATTTAAGTTGTGTCAGTAGCCTACTTTTAGTTTAAGTGAATTAATGAAATCTTTTGATTTAAGTAGGCTAAGTCTACTAGTTGTTTTTTTGTATAGCCTATAGAGTAATTGCGACACTGGTTTAAGTAGCCTACTCCCTATCAGTATTTAAAGCACTTGTAAGCAGGAGCGTGTCCAGAGGGGGGGGGGCATGGGCCCCCCTGGAAATATTATCGGCCACCCCAAAATCTTTGATTATTTTTGTGTGGTCCATTTGATCTTGAAATTCAGAAATTCAGAGTCAGCGGTTAATATGTAATCAGGAACGCCCCCCCTGAAGTCAGAACTCAAACATGGAAACTTGGAGAACCTTCAGCAGCCCGAGTTAAAATCCAACATACGCTTCTACGTTCATCAACAGTAACATAGAAGTGGGTAAACTTTAAATTTGTCCCCAAATGTATTTTTTCAAGTGGTCGCGTTTTTATCCTTTATCCGGCTCTGATGAGCTGAAACGCGTCGGTCTGCCAAACATTTTTAACTTGACCTGTAGCCATGAATGAATAAAGGTGTTTTAACTTTTGTAACAGAACAGAGTGCCTTACATATCTTTTTGTGTTTTCCTACCTTACTCTTCAGACTCAGGATTTTTTTCACTAAAGTGATAAACACACAGCCATTCCTAACCTTTGATGTCTTATCATGATTTACAGTGTGTGGTTCACACATACACATTTACATAAAACCACAACGACAAGTAAAAACCAAACAACAACATAAACTGTACATGAGTTGACAGGGAAACATTTATACGAGCAGAAAAAGTGGCTGTGCGATGTTGTTCAAAACAAACCGGGAATACTTGACCCTAGAGTTAATGTGAAAACTTTAACTCTGAGCAGGGCTGAAATAGAGGGGTTTATAGGCATGATCAGATACAGGATCAGAGTGGATTTAGAACAAGACACTTCAGACACATGTTTTTAAAAGCTCTGAGACTTATTTACACTGAAGAGGAGGAGGAGATGTGACCTTTAATTCCTTTGAAGTTTGGGTACATCCCACAGAAAAGTAAGGTGTCCATTTAAAGCTTCCCTGTACTAACTATCTATTTACCTGAAAGACTTTTAAAGATCAAAACATAAAAAAAAAAGGCATTCCAGCCTTAAACTGTTTGTAAAGCTCATGTCTGCGTGTTTCGTCAGTCCACTGTCATGTTTGGGTAAACGTGTGTCCGGAGGCAGTGAAGGGGTTAAAGGCCGAGCCTCCCGGTGTCCGGTTTCATCATTTTTTAGAGATGACGACTCAAAGCAGATGGAGGATTTGGGGATTCTGAGAGAACAGAGGAGAATACAGAGTCACAACAACAGAGAGCATACCTCAGATACACACACACTTCATTATGCTCAGCTTGCCCAATAAAACATTCAGAATAAAAAGATTAACACAGGAGCTTTGATTTCAATATTTTTTAACTGATTTATAGTTCCAGTTCCTTGATCATGTCTTTGCACTCGAGCTGAAACAGTTTTCAGCAACACTTTGAGAGCTGTGGAAGATATTTTTCCTTCAAAATAAAACACAAATATTAATCAATCTCTCCATTAGTTTGTTTAAATATCACTGTTACTCAAATTGTTTCTGTTGTTGACTTTTGCTCGGAGCGTTCTCGTTATTTTCATTCCAACATTTTTGGAATAATAATTAATTTGACTTTAATATACAAGGGGCCTTTTTGTTCATAAACATGATTTATTTTCCTCTTTTTAAGGCTTTAGGTTTGATGAGATCACTAAGAAAGCACAAAACAAACTCTTTAATTTATGTATTTCTAACACTATATTTGCAAACTTCGGAGGGTTGGCGGTTCAAGTCCTGGTACAGACCAAATCTTGAAATTGGTCTGGTAGCTGGAGAGGAGCGAGCTCGCTTCCTGAGCACTGCTGAGGTGTCCTTGAGCAAACCTGCTCAGGAACGCCGTGTGCAGCACCCTCACTGTGACATCCCTCCATCAGTCTACAGGATCCTGTTTGTGCATGTGTTTCAGCCTCTGTGTGTGTGAAGTGTGAAAATGTAATTTCCCCTCGTGGGATCAATAAAGTATGAGTTTGTCTTTTTTTTGTGACTTGTTTTAAAAGCATTATTACAAAGTGCTCCATAGAGGAAACAAAGATTGAATGATAACAACAAATTCACGGAGCCCATAATGCCAATCTTTATTTTTTATTTTTTAAACTTTTTGGGACTTCAGGGTCCAGTCTGAAGAAAACAAGGATTAAAAATAATTTAAACAAATAGAAGTTATATAAAATATAATGAAATCACACCAGATTTGTATAAAATGACTGTTAAAATAGTTTAATTGACGTGTTCCTGCTTAAATACATATTTAAAACGTTATTAATCCTCTATAAATCTTATTATGTTGCTGTACTCTCGTCCTGTTGCGCCTCTTTGCAGCAGTTCCCTCACTGACCAGACGGCGGCGTTGTTTTCACAGTTGGTGAACTACCTCTATTTGGTCAAGGACTATGTTGTTAAAAAAATCTTTCAAACTGTTTATTTTCCGCCTTTCTTGGATTCTTCTAGGGGTCTGATCGGCGTTTAGGGGGGAACCGTGTGAGCGGCCCGTGTGAGGACTGTGTGTCCGGCCCGGGTGAGACTTCTTCGGACAGCTGCTTAGCGGTTTTGCGATCTGGAGGTTTCACTGCAAGTTAGCTCAACAGCTAATCCGAAAAGTCACGTCACCTGTGCGGACTCGAATTAAAAGTTTCCCCGCAAAGCCGGGACAGCCGGGTGAGTTTTAACCGGATGTCCTTACTAAACTTTGTCTCGAGTGTTTTTTCGCGGGGTTTGTATATAATCTCGTTTTTACGCAGACGTTAAATTTGCGTTGGAAACGGCAGCAAGTGAAGCGTATCCGCGGTGAATAAATGACGTCGCCCCCCGCAGTGAAACACGGATAAGGGTCTTTTTTGTGAGGGAAATGCGATAGAGAGAAGACAGCGTCCGTGTTCAGCGGCTCTACGGTTAGCTGCTCGAGAGGCCTGCGGGTCGGGCTTCCACCGGGCTTGAGTAGAGCCCGACGCCGCCGTCTGAAGGTCGGAGGCCGGCAGTCGGCGCTTCCACCGCCGGGCCTTCGTACCGAGGTATGGAACGGATGGAAGTCGACCAGTGCGCAGGCGCAGCTGGCGGGGCAGGAGGCGGGGCACTCCGTAGATCTAACAGCGCCCCCATGATCACCAGCGTCAGGTCAGTGGTATTACACCCAAATGTGACTCACCAAACCTCATAAAAATAAATAATGTGTTTACCAACCTTTTCGTAGTAAACCATACGCAACTTATAAAATGTTTAATAATAAATTATTACAATGTATAGCTACTAATCTTCTTTGCATATTTCTGATACATATACTCAATAAATGTAAACAATAAGTGGTTTTGAGGTCAAGAGTTGTGAATGCTTAAAATACGTATTATCTCATTGAAATGTGGTTTTTGTATTAATTAATGATTTCATTTTTGAATGTACAACAGGTGGGTACAGGCTGAGTTTAAAGGCCACAGCTTAAATGAATGTGTCATAATTAAGCTGTATTTTAAGCAGTTATTTTCTCTCTATATATTATATAAACATGTTATTAATTTCCTCATGTCTCATATTTCCTTCATGTCCTCCTGCCAGTGATGGGATGGCGGTCTTCAGTCCCGTGACGTCAGCTCGGTACAGACGCAGCAGTGTGTCCATCAACCCCAGCTGCCCCTCACAGGTCAGTGGATCACACCGACTGATTCTACGTCTACTGTCTGGTCCAGTCTCCCCACACTCACATCCATCGTTTCTATGTCTTCCTCTCCTGCAGCTCGTCCCTCTCTCTCCTTTCTCTCTGACCGGAGACAGACTGGACCAGAAGAGGCAGGTGAGGATGATGCTTTGTCAGATTGTACCAACATTAGAGTTTGTGGATGAACGTCAGAGAACAGAAGTTATTCCTGACGTTAGTCTGTTCAGAGACGATCAGACACGAGAGGTAACACTGCTCTCTGTGCCGAAATGCCGCTCTCTGATTGGTCACATCAAGTTCAAACCTAATTTCTGACACTATGTTTTGGTTAGTTTGTATGTATGCTCTGCTAGTTAAGATGAGCCTCACGTTTCTATGGTAGCCAAACAATGACACAGACGAACTAGTTAACATGTCGGGTTTAGTGAGGACAGGAAGTGAATCTTCACCAACACCTGTTTGTGTTTGATGCAGGAGGAGAACATGGAGATGATGCTCAGAGGGAGTCTGCAGAGAATAAGGTACATTCTACAAACTCAGTGTTCAGCTGATTGAAGTTTGAATCCAGAATATCTAATTGCATCTCTCTCTCGCTCTCTCCCAGTGCTTCCAGTCT